AAGAAGCTGTCTCGACACATCTATTGGCCTCGTATCTCTAAATTATGTAAGTCAAAGAAAATGTGCGGATGCTTCACCGATTATATAATCAATATAGGCTAACGATTTAAGCATTTTTCGAATTATAATATACTGTGAGAACCGAATAGCCCCTGAGCACTTATAAGTAATTTGGAACAGTGTTAGACGAGTATAAAACAAGCCTTTTAAGGATGCATCGATACTCAACGAGGTTACCTACCGCAAGTATCAAATGACTTGAATCTTGGAACGCGACTGTTCAGCCGGATACGAAGTAACAGAATAGGGTGACACCAGCAAATAAGGAGCAGGGCAACGTCTAGATTCAATTTTCGATTTTCCATTATCATAGGCCAAGGTTCGAATGTGCTCCACGGAATATAGCATGTGACAGAACAGCACAGCACAATGTTCTGCTTCCAATAAGACGCCATGTTTTCTGTGAGGATTTAGCCATTAGGAAAAACTGATTAAATCTTCTGAATGTAAATGGCTTGGCCGATCTCGGCTGGTCATCGTTATCGCCATAGGGCTATACGTTGGGTTTGGTCTGACGTCGGCCTGGTCAGACGGTCTATTGGCGATTACGTGGTTTCATCTGTTCATTTAGTCAAATTGAGGCCGATATGCCTCACCCTATTTGCTGCATACTATCCGTGGCCAGTTAACTATAGATTGCATTAGTCTATGGCCGTCGCTAGCGGAGCGTACAAGCGCTGCCCATCACGACACGCACGTTTTATTCGAAAGAAGCAGCTAGGATCTCCTTTGTTAGTGTTGAGTCGCGTTCTCGACCAAATACTTTCGCCTGCAGAGATGGAACTGCCCGGGCTCTGAAAATAAAATATAGACTAGAACCGCCAAATAACAATCCGTATGTGCGGCGGATCAAAGGGCGTTGCCAGATTAGATCATGTCATCGGTTTAATTCAAATTCGACAGAGAATCGGCTGAAGGCTAAACATTATCAGTGGATACTGGATCGTTTGAAATGTACAAGACCTTTGAAAGAGATGCGATGAATTCTAGATTTTCAATATTACTATTGTACAGAACTCAAATCAGGCCTAATGTGTTCCTTCGACGAGAACTCATTCATCTCTCTCTCTCTCTCTCTCTCTCTCTCTCTCTCTCTCTCTCTGTGCGTGTGTGTCGACCGGTAGATCATCTGAGCTATTCACACGAATCCTTTTGGTATCAGTGCGAACTGTTGCGTGCGTCAACGTTGGTAACTTCGAGAAATCTCGAATAAAAACAGAATAGGTTCAAAGTACTATAATACTGTCCCTGTCTCGGCGAGTGCGTTGACGAATCTATTGGCCAAAACGTTTCGTAGACAAGGACGTTAATTATGAACTCGCTATGCTCGTGCTCGGCTCCCGCTTGACCTCCGACGTCGTCTATGAATGGATAGGGAACTTGTAGCGCACCGACTGAAATGCATTTCAATGACGACAACATACCCATGCTAGTTTGACGGAAGTTACTTTGCGGGAAGAAATCCATATCGTTGTTTAATGAGACCATGCTATCTTGATAGCAGGATCGAAACTATATATGCTGCTTATGGTGTCTTATATATATATATATATGTAGTATTTTCTCTAGTTTGATCACAGCGCCGGACAACCTCGCTGATAATAGTCGATCTGTAAGCGGTGCGGTGAGTCTTACGAAAGTATGTGCTTCTCATTTGGAAAGCTCACAATTATTCCTAGGTACAGTGTTACTGTCTGACGAAATGGAGACAAGTTTGTTACTAAGATTTGTAAGTGTACGAATGTTCAGGAAGTAGATAACCGGGGGAAGTAACTAAAAAAAAAAAAAGATAAAATCGTTACGTTCGTTAGAGATTTGGCCAATTGACTAGTGACAAACTAACTATGCTACTATACAAAAAACGTAATGATTAGTTACATATATAGCTAAATCGCTAATCACTTCGTCGTCTTCGTTGGAAAGTCTCTACGCTAATTATACTGTTATTGAAGAGAAAAATAAATAAGGAGCCTTGACTAAGTAAAACGAGGCTAGGCAAACGTGGCCTATTGTCCATAGACGTGTTGAACTGGCCCAATTAATGATTGCAACAGACCAGTTCTAACCGTAAAGCGGTTGCAGGCGCTTATTCGAAAGTAGACAATTCCGAAATGAATCGTATACGCGTCGACGTTTGATTGAATCCACTAGGGAATTGAGCAACGACGTTTTTGATATCGCTTACGAGTTAAACAAGAAGCCATCGAAAAACGTGTTGTGTAATTATCTAGAATCGAATTATTTCTTTAGTTGGGCTTTTTTTTTTTAATCGTACTATACGAAATCTCGTATATTTGTTTGAATTTGAGCTCGGCTGCAATTAGAATAGATTGTATTATTCTACAGTAGTAATAGTATATACAGCAGTAGACAGTAGTTCCGGAAGCACGTTCCTACCTGTGAGAATGACTTGATGCGTGACTAAATCACAGTTTCTAGTGCATATATATATATATATGCACTAGAAACTGTGATTTATATATATATATATATATATATAAATGCTAAGTTGACATCACTTCGGCCAAACTGCGGTTACTTCGGCCAAGACTGAGCAATTCGTCGATTGGGTAAACGCCTCAAAAATGCGTACGCTTATAGGGGAGAGTGCGATGTCTCACAAGAGTACTGAAATCGGACCGGCAGCAACGATCAGCACGAAAACCAACTTTTGTATACTTTCAACTGAATCTCTATAATAATAGAATAATAATAGGAGTCTATAGACTCTTCTCTAACAGTATACACCAAGAAACAAGCTTGTCACCATTTTCGATAGTGAATCAACCGTTAACCGTCACCGTACGACACTAGGCGTGAAAACGACTACTAGGGTTTCAAAATCAATCAGACCTCGTTTGCCAAACATGCAGTGCATCATTCTGACCCGACGGTTACGTAACACTTCATGGAATAGTAACGAAACAAGTGAACGAGTAATGCCAATGCTCGAGCCACTCGTTCATTTGGGTCATCGGCCGTGTGTGTTAGGTCCGTGCTACCTTCATTGGGTTTTTCGCACACAAGTGCGCTACCGATGCCGCCGAAGCAGCCGTGTGAGTTACATATCTCTGACCCTGCGATGATCTTTCGTATCCAACGAGGCAAGAATGATTTGTCGTCGCTCTGACACAGCAGTGGCCGACTTTTAACTGCCTAGTGTTGATCATCTATCACATTTTCCAAATAGAGAAGGTCTGACCACGAAGTGAACTTGAAAGCCTGAAGAGGCGGAATTCGGCAGCAACGAGCTAAACTCGAAGACATTCAGGAGGCGATACAACGAAAAAAATGACAGCCCTACAAATGGGTTAGTCGCTGTGTTGGCGTAGCTTGCAGCGGCAGCAGCAGCAGCAGCAGCAGCAAACGTGACTTGTTTCGGAAATGTCCAGGGAAAAGCTCTGAAAACGATACATTTGGTTTATCTTTCAACAGGTGGTTATTGTAGCTGATGTCGCTAGGCTGTCTCTAAAAGTTTGTAATGAATGGCCGTATAGACAGGTAGACGGTCCATCGACCTCTGGGGACTGTAGGAACTCTTGCCTGCGCCTTGAATCGGAAGCCAAGGTGTTTGTTTCCGCTTGCATGTAGATTGTATTACAGACTGGTTGAACGAATTAGTCTGTGTACTGGCGGTTAGCCAAAAAAAGCAGCTGTTAATGCACCCATTAGGGCAATTTGCAGTAACGTAGCAAGTAATTTAGATGTCGTAATTATGATTTGCCGAAGTGAACGCGTGAGGAAAAGGTAAAATCTTATGTATGCGTGTTAGAGTGCACAGTAATTATGAAATCGTTCCTAAATGATATGCATGTTACACATGTGTATGTACGGTAAGGGAGAGTTCGCATATGATAATGCTAATTATCTTGAGTCTCCAGAGGGTACAAGTTGAAGAGGGCTTGCTAGATTTAGTGAATTGAGCAAAACAAGGATTATATGAGCTATCCGACATTTCTGTGTTTCGTCGATCTTCGTACCTCATGTTGTTCTTCGTCTAAAACACAGACATGTTTTTCGGAGAACACTTGGCGCAAGCCGCTAATTCCAACGGCTTAGATCGCTGTTCATGAGTGACCAGTCGGTGAGCAACTATTAATGCCCTTAAAAAGTCGTAGGCCCCTGAATTAGGCCAGCTGGGAAATGGGACTTGAATAAAACATCCATATGATTATATGAATTAACTAGTGGAAGACTGGTTGGCCAACTCTCATTCAATAGCACCTTGCTCATTAAAATGTCCAGGTACGTGTTTCAAGCTAAGCAGAAATTAACGGCCTTATCACCTGCAAATCATTCGAAAAAAGACTGATATGATTAATAGTAGGCCTGCCGAATTCGAATGAGACTAGAAATTTCCGCTCATTTAGATCAAGTTATGCTAATTAGGTCGTAACAAAACAATCGATCAAATGTGGGGAGTTACTGCTTTCTTTCGGACAATATAATGAGTATAGAAGAAAACCGATCTAATAATAAGATCTAGCGTAGATGTTAGTAATAGCTCAGGAGGTAAGGCCGGATGTCTCATCAGTGTGTACGCTACCTAAATCGCTCTATTAAGGTGGCAACTCCTGATTATACAATAGGTAACTCATATATGATTAATGCTTATATTAACATATCCTGTATAACGTATGCGTTGTACCGATGAAGTTGATATAATAATTTTCATCTATTTCGGTTCTATATTTAGCTAGAAGACAAAAAGCATCATAGCTGTTAGAGTGGCACAATTTTCGTAAACGTGTTGTATAAGAACTTAGTGTGCCAGGTTTAGATCCATACGAAGTTCAACGCTGCAGTGAACTTCCACGTCTAGACTCGAATGAGGCCCAGCAGCAAAAGTTGTGTTAATGATGACTAGTGCCTTTCGGGAATGTTCATCCGATTGCTACAATACAGTGTCTTAGCTTAGCTTTTCTATCCTCGAGACAACGTAGTCCTCTTTAGCACTGTTATCGTACCATTAACGGGCGGTTCGAGCAGCGGGCGTTTCTATAGTTCACTCTGTGACGATCTTTGAGGAATTCATGTGGCTAAATTTCAGGAGCACACTGTCGCTGGATATCGACAACAGTAATTGCTACTAACAAATCCAGTTAAACGGACAACGTTTTTTTTTTTTGCTATGAAACGTCGCATTGTGTGCTTTAAGTAGATTGCATTCTCATCAGTGATGAGTGCCGCTCCTTTCATCGATTCCTTCTTGCCCTTCAGGTTGAGTAACGATGAGACACCAAAAACGATGAAGCTGTCTCATCGCCGCCGGCTGTACGTGCTGGCCTTGTGCGCTGTATCCATCATCGTGATTTTCATCAATAATCTGATATTTTCCACGTAAGTAGCAAAAAGTGACTTCAATATTGAATCAAACAAGCAAACAAAGTGAAGCAACGATTACAATATATTTACTAGGAATGGAAAATCGAATGATGTTAAGCTGACGGCAAGATCACATCCATGGCTCTGCTAATTCTCATCGATTTCATTATGCGCAATATTAACTCAGTAGAAGTTTGAACGTAACGCTGTTCATTCTGGAGATCCAAGGATAATGTCTTCTAAGGTAAGAAAGTTCCAGTCAAGGGAGATTAAACTCGATCTATATACGAGCTCCATTCTGGCTAACACGAAATTCACGTGTCATAGCCACGGGTACAAACAGGATCAGGGCCTCGTACGTGTTCTGGACGTGAACACCGTACAGGGCCACTCAAGGGTTCTTAACGGCGCTACTTTTGTACATCTACAAGAATCTGTTCCAGTCCACCCAGCGTGTGACCTCGTCCGTAACATATTTTTCCTGAAGACTCATAAGACTGGCAGCTCCACCATATTCAACATTCTATTCAGGTATTGCTTTGACAGCTCAAACTCTTGTAAAGGTATACCATTTTCGGTATAAAGAACGCTCCCATTAATACAACACATTTATAATGTAGTAATTTGTAACTATAACCATGATCCTGCTACATAACGGAGATCGCTAGCGCAGCTGATCTCAATTTTTGAAGATTTCATGATAATTACATGCTATAGTAACCATTTGTCAATATTGAAATGCGAAATCAATGAAGGCCGTATCTTCTTAGTTTCTACGGTAACGCACCCAAAGAGATAGGCATTAGTAACCTAGACCATTAGACCTAGGCATTAGACCTAAATTTTTTGAGGCTCGATTACTATGGAGTACAGTGTTCACCGTCACAGTAGATAAAATCGATTGAACAAAACAAACAAATGACAGATTTGCAGACGAATATGATCGGACTGTGGCGATTCCACGAATCCACGGTAACCTCATGAACTACCCGAAGCTCTTCCAAGAAAGTTTTATGTTCAACTATTCAGTGTAAGTTTAAATCATATAAAATCAGTATCGCTTTACCATTCATCAGCACCATAAATTTCATACTAACTCGAATTTATTTTGATGAATGATACGCATCCTTAATATGAAGTTTTGTTTATATATATATATATATATATAAACAAATTTCACATTAACAATGAAGTTACTCTACTATAATGCATAGAAGATCAACCGAACACCACAATCGATTACTTTTTGGTACGGGCACCCGACAGTACTAATAATTTTTTTTGCGGGTCAATACAGGATCAACCGTCGAGTTGAAATATTCGCAGTGCACTCACGACTCAACATCAATGAAGTGCAGCGAATAATGCCACCGAAGACCAAGTTTATCACGATTCTCCGCCATCCGCTATACGCATGGGAAAGCGCGTACGATTATTTTAGGATTTCTAGTAAGACAAACCTTTCCATTGAAAGCTTTGCGTTCAATGATTCAGCTATCCAAATGATGCGAGGTCGGAAAATCTCTTCATGGTTCGGCTTCAACATGATGTATTTTGACATGGGATTCGAAGAAAATGTGAGCTCTGCTGATGCGTTTGGGTTAACTGGAGTATCTGGAGCCATAAGAAATATAATTACATCAGTACTTCAATTAATAGCTATGTCTGTTTGGCTGCTTCAAGCGAATCTGGCGAGTCCTTAGCTTTTGAAATTTGCCCCACTAATAAACGAAATTTGGATGGTGAATATTCTAATCTTCTAGAAACATGTAAGTAAAAATTGGTTGAGTTTACTCCAGAAAGAAAAAATCTAATCCCAAAAATCAAGTATTTATTTCTCAAAGGTCACAGCCGCATGGAAATTAACCTAATATTGATGTCAATATTAGGCAAGGAGACCTTGAACGGCAGCACCGTAAACGAATGAGGCGAATGTTTCAAGGACGGAGATTTGGGTATTAAAGCTCTAATACTAGAAATGCGGAAACGAGTGAAAAGTAGATCCCCCGTGAATCGAATTCAGGCCAGTTGGTGATGTATTTCACGTGCTGAATTTTCAATCAATAAAAAAAAAACCCGCTTCAAGCATACGGTTGCCATTAACGAGACATGGCATGGTTTCGCTAGCCAAAAAGTGATTAGGGGAAGAATGGCGTCGCCCGTAAGAGAAGTCAAATTCAATGGGAGTGTTGAGTAGGTTTGAACGTAGGTAAAGTTAGTACTTTTCAACGGGCATCAGGATCATCTGCAAGAAGATTCTCATCGAAAATGAGACAGTGAATGCGGCTTGCTCTCTCAAGACTTGTGGACCGTTTACACAACAATCAAAAACACGCGGTCTGGTTACTTAATGACTACGCTTCAGTTACTTCCTGTATTAACCAAAGGAATATTCAACGTTGGCTTCAATCCGCTTATTCTCCCGATTTGAGGAGGATATTCATGGAATTTTTCGTGCCCCAAAACAAGGTAACTAACGGGCATTACCTATTTATTTCGAGAAGCCACAGGGAAACTATATGTGGGGAAAGCGAATCCAGTCCAGAATGGGTGTCCAGAGGCTGCCGGAACACTGGAACAAATGCGTAAAAATAAATGAGAGTTAACACACACTAACCCTCATTGTAGCTTAAGAAGTTCAAAAGCTATTCTATTTTAAAATCCGCCGTATTCTCTTATAACAGCCCAATAAATGATAACATTCTAGAATAAAATAGCTCAAACTATGGGCAGAACGACTGGTCTCAAAAAAAAGATAGCCAGTACATTTATCCGAATACACTAAATTAAGCATTTATGCACTAACTCTATTTAGGAAGAAAAATTAAGATTTGACAGACATTTAGTTCCAGGAAACAGCGGAAGTACAGGCCCAAAAAGCCATTAGCATGCTTGAGCAGAACTTCCATTTAGTGCTCTTAGCGGAGTTTATGGAAGAATCCTTGGTGCTGCTTAGGGAAGAGCTCTGCTGGAAATTGGAAAGCATGGTTGCCTTCAGGTAGGGACCGAAAATAAATATCTAATCATAATTCTATTAATGTACATATTGTGAGACGTTATCTTGGCTTTCGCAAGCAAGTGCAATTATCACGGTTAAGCTGCTGTATCCGGCATACCATGTAGACCTCTATGATATATATAGTCCCCTATGAAGCGAAACAACGTATTTTAACTGAACAAAAAGACGGTGTTGAACGGACGGCTTCTGTTTACCTATTATTATTACTATTATCATCATTAGAATCAATGCTCTGTTGCACCTAATACACTACTCTCACTTCGAAGTTGTTCCCTTGTTCACTGCGTTCAAAAAATCAAAGATTCCCTGAAATTTGTAATTTCGAACATCGACGAGTGCACAGTCACTGACCCCGCCGCTTATTAAAAACGACACCTCTTTGAAAAAGATAGCCCGCCAAATTTGGGTGTTCGCTTAGCAGTCTCCTTGTCAATACTGATAAATACATCGCGTGCTTTTTTTTTTAATTGTGTGCAGTAGCACCTAACTGCAACAAAGGTTTTTCCCAACTTCAGACATAACGAGAGAAACTTATCGATCCGTATTCAAATTATGAGCTCCGAAGCTGAGGCCAGGATACTCTATCTCAACGATATCGATATGCGGTAAGTGCCAAGATCCGAGTATGGTAAGAGGAATGGTAATAAGTTTAACAAGGTACAATATTTAGCTTTTTAATAACTATTTTAGAGTAATAAAACTGCACGCGGTAAGGAACCTGTACAAATATCCCCTCCCTAGGCGCGTACTCCTCTGCCACAATCCGCTTTTCCTCAATCTACAACACATATCGTTCTACTCTACAATTTGTAATTCACGACTGTAGTAAATCGATCCGATCTACTTGCAGGATATATAAACATTTTCTGGAAAAGTTCCTTCACCTGCTGGATAAATTCGGGAGGGGTCGGATGTTCAATGAGGTGCAAGCCTTAAAATTAAGAAACAGATTTTGGTCCGACATTTGTATAGCTGAACGCAAGCAAGGCATTTTGAACACCATCGAGTTTGTCCCAGGGCAGGAAGGTGAGGTTCCGATTCTAAATTTCGATGGCCAAGTAAAATTAGTCCAGTAATCCAAAAAGCTTGTTTGTAGCATAGCTAAAGATCAGAAAAATGCACAGGTTAATCTAAGTAGCAGCCCGTAACCTTAGGGGTCCAATAGTTATTTTCGACAAATTTCCAAAATGCATTCACCCGTCCACCCTGATTTCGTAAACTGACATTTACAGAATCCGAGTTATTTACGCTCTATTAAAAAACGATTTTTATGTTAAAGTTTAAGAAAAAGGTAGTACATAACGTTTCAGTTACTTTAAGCTGAATACATAAAAAAATCGATACAAGGTAAATTAGATGAATCGTTGTTTATCACTGCAGCTTATTGCATACATACTAGTTGACTATACTAATACTAACTAGAAAATTAATTTATAATTTAAATGTCACTTGTCATTACCAATCGTTTTGTTTCGAAGTATTGCTCTTTTCGGATCTTGATTTAGGAAATGCATTTGATAATATGTATGCATCAGAGACAGTGAGATCTGCTGTGAGATGCTGACAAGATCGTCTAATAGCAAAATTCCGTTTCAGTTCCGTCAATTTGTGACCGTTTGACGCTGAAGGAAGTTCACTACATACGTAAATTTCGAACGAGGTACATCTCAGAGTTATGGTGGAATTTTAGAAAACGGCGTCGTCCTCGACTTCGCAGAAAAAACCGTAAATCTGACATCGTTAGCAGGAATCGTCAGGGACACAAAGATCCCAAGGGCCGAGTCTAACGTAAACGTACATTATATGCTGCACATGCTAATTCTGCAGAAAAAAATGCTGTTTGTGTTCATATATATCATAAATGAAATAAAACTATTAAATAACCAAAACTGATAAAATGTGCATTCAATTTTTTTGTCAGAGGGAAAATGTTACTACTCTGTAACATTCGATCTACGAAGTGCTGTTTCACCATTGTTTCAAAAATTTACTTTGCGCTAATTATAGCAGTAACAGCAATAGAAGTGAACTGTCCGAGAAGTATCTGATGTTTGGTCGTCAGAACGATACGTTCAGTTCGGCTCCAACGGGTAGTTATGTTAATTAGCGCCGCTAAGTTCATGCGGAAGTTCGCAGGGGAGGACAGTAAGTGCTACGTTAGCCGCCGCAGGTACCATCGCAAATTTTTCATGCGAATAGATATCGAGGTGTTCGTATCCATTTGCGAGCCTACTAGATGCAGAAATCCAAGAACGAGTAATGTTGCAGAGCTTAATGACATTATCGGACGTAAAACTCGAAATGTTAGTTTACATAATTAATGTATATTTTCACAAACGCCGTATAACGTATGGTTCCTAAGTTGATTATTTAGGGGTATTTTTGGTTCTGCAAGAAAACCTGACGCAATAGTTCGCTCATAGAAAACTACGATACTAGCATACTTGTTAGAAGTTGGCATGGAAGTTTAACACCGGTTTTCGGTACTCTCAAGCAGAAAAAAGCATATTACTTAATGACTGCAGTCGGTAATACGAGTAGGACCAATGTATCTGCGTATTAGAATGAGATTCTGTAGCAGAAGAATACCGTATACCCCTGCTCAAATAAAAAGTGCTCACCTGATCACTAATCGTAGGCCAGCTTTTATATCCTTGAGACAACGCAGTCTCCCTTATGACTGTCACCGTGCCATAAAAACCAGTTACTGCAAGAAACGTTTCTGCAGTTCACTGTGACAATCTTTTCTCGGTTCATGCGAATAGACTCTAGCAATACGTTCTCTCGGAGTCTTCAAAACGGTGAATACCATTTCTCATGAGCTTTTCATGTTTCGTACGTTTGAACCTATAAGAAATTGGTTTAGAAGCTTCGTTTGATTGTACGCTTATACTGGTGGAGCTATAGATATGCTTGAAAGTCGCCCGAGAATTCCGGTTGGCTACTGAGTAGACGTGAAACGCCCGAATGGCATTTCATTGTATACTCTAGGAGACCTCTGTTATCCTGCGTCCAATTTTGGCCAAGAGGTAGTGTGAGAATGAGATATGATGAAGCTGACACCCTGGTGTGTGTTCAGGCTGACTTTTTCTGCTGTATACATCTTCATTTTCTATAACAGCGCTACACCAACCATGTAAGTAGCGACATGACTATAAGCGTATTTTAAAGATGCCGAAATTGTGACTTCTTGACATAAAACAGAAAATTGGAGAACTCTGTTACCGGCATTAATTAAAGATTACATCCATTTTGTCGTTTGATAGAGATTTTAGTGTCGTACTTTCTGAGGATAGAAGACGATACCCTGCAGGATGAGGTATGAGGCTAAACGCGATCTTTATACAGGCTATGTTCTGATTAACACAAGAGTTCATGCTTCGTCGTTTTAGAGTTCAGCTAGAAGCCGTGAACCTTAACACTACAGAAAGTAATGCTCGCGTTCCTGAATGCACGGCTATTGTTCAAAATTCTGAGAACACTTCTTCGGTTCAGATGCAAGAAATGGTCACAAAAACTGTATGCGAGTCCGTTCGTAACATTTTTTTCCTTAGAATGTACAGGACCGGCAGCTCTACTGTGGTTAACATTCTACTCAGGTATGGTGGCTATTTTTTTTCCTTTACAGAATATTTTGAATCTGTACAGAAAGATAGCGATTTCAAGGGAACTAACGTTTTTACCAATACGGTGGAGGCAGTTAGTCATAGTCAGAGCACACGTAGTGACAGCCATATTATATTTATTCGTCTTGCGCAACGGACACCACACCCGATGTGCATAGTTTAAATGTTTCACATGTGCTCAGGACCTGGTGTACATGAGCATTTCAATCCGCTATACATCGATATGACAAACAACTGCTAATGACAGATTTGCAGAGGAACGTAATTTGACCGTGGCGGTTCCGCGAGCGCCAATTAACCTTATGGGGTGTCCAATACCGTTCAAGGAACGCTTCATGTTGAATTACTCTATGTATGTTTTCATTACGTAGTCACGCTTTGTTGTTTATTGTTTTGATTAGTAAATTGTTTTTGCACAAATAAGGGTCTCGTATTATTTTGATCGATTTTGAACGTTATGCGCTTCTTCCATTTATTGCGAATATTTATTACAACGAAAATTGTATAATAATGTTTAGTAAAAAAATTTTACTTATTATAATACACACAAGGTGTGCTGTGTATCTTATGAACAACGCTAAAATGGGCCGTTGGTGGATTGACCTGCAATTGTACATGCCAACTCATCATATATTGATTCACAGTATACTTTCACGCACAAGCTTACTATTGAGATGATTATCTGTAGTCGTCTCCTACCACGTCCCATGTACAGGTTGCACCAGATGGGATACGCTAGTCTTTGTTTACGTTGAACTGTCGCAACAATAGTACCACATGTTACAAACACGGTTTTTTGCAGACTGATGTAGAATCAATCGCCGGCCCGAAATATTCGCAGTGCAGACGCGATTCAACATCAGAGAGGTGCGACGAGTAATGCCACCTACAACTAAGTTTATCACTATTCTTCGCCACCCGCTATTCGCGTGGACGAGTGGATATGAAAGTTATAAAATGTCTGCAATAACGAAACTTTCTCTGAAAGAGTTAGTGTACAATCAAGCGGCTATCCGAATGATGCGGAAACGAAAATTCTCCAAATCGTTTGGGTTCAACATGATATATTTTGACCTAGGATTCAAAGAAGATGTGAGTGATATATAGCTATAATAGCATGAGATATGGTATTTGAAGGCAAAGCAGTCTCAAGTAATTTTTTTAGATAATCAGCAAATTTAATTGAGGAACCGCTAGCAAGAATTTTATGATTGTTCCAGTTCAATTCTATTTAAGAAGAAAACTTTAAAAAAGTAAAATAGGAAAAATTTGTTACCAAAAACGTTTAGTTCAAAGAAACAGCTGAAGTTCAGGCTCAGAGGGCCATTGACATGCTGGAGAAAAACTTCGATCATGTGCTTATAGCAGAGTTGATGGAAAAATCTTTGGTCCTGCTAAGGAAGGTGCTGTGCTGGGAACGGGAAAGCATGGTTGCCTTCAGGTGAGTACGAGAAATTATAATATATATATATATATATATATATATACATGATTATTACATATGTACTACATTTTACATAATATTACATATTATGTAGCAGGACCAAAGATTTTTCCATCAACTCTGCTATAAGCACATGATCGAAGTTTTTTTCCAGCATGTCAATGGTCCTCCGAGCCTGAACTTCAGCTGTTTCTTTGAACTAAGCGTTTTTGGTAACAAATTTTTCGTATTTTACTTATATATATATATATATATTATATATATATATATATATATATATATATATAGTGGTGATCATTGTTTTATTATTAAACTATTCTGTCCAGAAGAATACCATCTAGGGTTCTATATTATGAGTAACGCCACTTGGACTGTCTGTTGAAAAACATGCTGTTCAATCCGTAGTTTATGTATGATTATATATAAAACTACAGTATAACCGAATAGCTTGGCGGCTACGCAAAACGTTAAACTGATTACCCTCGTTCATTCGATGCAATTGGGGCCACAGACTGAGCCTTACTTTATAAGACCTTTCCAATTTCTCCAATAGTATGGAGGTTTGGGATGGATTGGGCTTATTTTGTAAAAGCAACACAATCCTTTGTTCCATACCGATGTGAAGACAACACCTAAATCGTATTACTTTACGTGCCTTATCCAGTCCACGGCAGGTCCAGACTTCATAATTCTCAAAAAATTCTATATATTTAAATTGCTTCGTTCTAGTGTTGTTAGCTCATTGGCCAGTCGAAATTTATGGGAACTTATGGAGAGGCCAAATAGTGAGTTACACTTAAAAAAAACCGTATTAGAGAGTATGGTAATGCCTAATTGGAAGATTTTCATTTCAGGCATAATCAAAGGAACGTGTTAGCCCCTGATGCCGTTATAAGCAACCAAGCTCAAAGAATCATACTCTATAATCTTATTGACGCACTGTGAGTGTCAGCATACGCACTGTATTAGTTTGTGTTAATAATATTTTTTTAGTTTTAATATTAATAGCTCTTTAGGATAATACCGTGCGCGGTATGGCATCCGTAGAGCGATAGCAGGTATATATATCAGATAGATACGCGTTTTACTGTCAAAACGTGACATCTTCAAGGCTAGCGCACCATACGTGTCCCACCGTACAACGTTGCAGTGGCAAGTTAACGTTGTTGTAAATCAAATCTTGGCTACTTGCAGGATATATCATTTTTCGGCAAAGTTTAGTAGCCTAGTGAATAAATACGGGGAATATCGAACGTTTAACGAGGTGGAAGCCCTGAAACTACGAAATGAGTATTGGTTGGATAGATGCGTAATCAACCATACGTATAGCTACTCCGAAACCGAATTTGTTCTGCCAAAAGGAGGTAGTCTTTTTATTCCTGAATCTCGTTTATTTTACTTTTACGTTTTAGGTTTTTAGTTAAGTAGTCTAATAGAACTCGGACTACAAATCTAAAATTACATCTAAATTAAAGCTACATGAAATGCTACTATGGGCTTTTCTGTAGTATAATGAAAATTATTATCGTACCGAGTACCGATTGATACCCGATACATATCGGAGAGACGGAATATGTTCGCGTACCAACTTCACCAAAAGCTTTTTTGTGTTTGAGATAAGTGTTTCGAGAGTTCAGGAGGTTTTGCTTGTATTATGCACGCTAAAAGCAATCGAATTTCGATTCTGAACCACTTTTCAGCTGCTCCAATTTGGAAGCGTCTGACGATGAGCGAGAAGCTCTATATAAATAAATTCCGGGCTCAATATATTTCAGAGTTAAGGCAGGCATAAAAAAAGCAGCCTCTTCCAAGGAATATGTTCATCGACTTCGTGGAAAAAACAGCCAATCCAATGCCGTTGATCGTCGCACACGAGACTGACGACCAAATGCCACGACCTTCGTGCTGGAGATACATTTTAGTGATATTATTTATATATTTACATCTCTCAGATGTTCGTTCTATGGAAGCGTTGATAATGCCGTTTAAATTATACCTGACGTATAATTTGTTTTATTGAGGGTTCGGTATGAACGATCTGCAGGGATGAATACGGCATTACTATATTCATCGCATCTCTCATTAAACCGTGAGGAACGTTCTTTCAGCTTCGGCACTTAGCTTCGATCTAGTACCGTGGCTCCCAGAAGAGGAACAATGCTTTAAATGCCTACAATATTCAGCTGGTGTAAAGGATGAGAGACCAAAGCAACGTTCCCATAAAATGTCAAAGCCTAGTTATGTTGTCCAAGGCCAAATGTGGAGCATTTTGTTAGATGTTACCTCATGCTTCGCTGACCTTGATTATTTAGGGTAATTCATATGCGTATATTGACGTATTGCAATTACTAGCTTGTTGGCATTTTTAGTGTTTTATTGTTAGAATGTTTCGTCTGTTCTGGAGGGCTGGCTTTTCTTTACCTTACAGCCCTGACTAAATAAAAATTTAATTTGGAGAACGTTGCTTGCACTCCAAACATGAGTTATATCGGGTGGCAAAAGATTTTTTTTTAAGATATATTCTTGTATTTTCTATTAGCGTTAAATATGCTGCTCGAGCGATCCGAGCTGGGTTTGTCATGTACCCACGACTATATACGATAGTGTTAATAATTTGACTTAGGAAGGTCGTTAAGGATCGCTTGGAACATTTTTCGAATTAAAATCGTTGTGAGTTTTCGGCGTCCTTTGAGCAACTCGCTGGCATCGGCAAAAATTCACTGTCTGAAATTCATTCCTTTTGTACCCGACAAATACATATTTTTGAAGCTCGAACACTGTTTCACGAGCTAAACAATAATCAAAATCAACGGTTTTTTTTTATGAGTGAAGTAACTTGCTAACGGAATCATCAAGATATGAGTACAATCTAGTAAGAGAAACTATAGACAGTAATTGACTAAACCTATACAACAAACAAAAGGTGTATGGAATAACTATGTTAGCTCCGTTCAAAATCAGTTTCGTAACTGAGGTCAGCGTCGTCTCAAGGTTATCCAGCCCAGCAGAGCACTTTCAGGTTACTCTAATATCGCTGCGTCGTTCTTCCATAACGAGTGAACGACCAGCGACTTCTCGAAAGTGATAGTGGGTAAGGTACAATATTCCCAGCAATAAATCTCGTGTTTCAGCTGAAATCGATAATCGTGTATTCTGTTGTTGCGGTTCAGCGCATTCTGACAGTTTTGTGCAGGAAGTCGCTAGTGCCAGTTGACTCATGTGGAGGCAAAATTACCACAGAGAAAGCCAAAGCTTTGGTCGATACGAGGCAGCAATAAAGCTTCGCTTTTGGATTACCGCAGTATGCCGCAATAATGATGGTTTTTCAACTGCCGTCAGAATTATGATAAAGTAACTTACAAACCTTGAACTATTAGGAGTATACTGGAGCGGTCATTGTAGGCCCAGCGGGGAGTCCATTGATTAGCAGCTGCCGAAAGGTGCAATCTCACGCAAAGTCGAATCACACTTATCCGCTATAAACACTCTGGGGCAATAATGGACCTTAGAAACTAATCCTACAACCGCAAGAATAACGTGGAAAACTCAAACAAATTTCAAAGGAACAATCTGCGTGAGAATCTTAAAACCAAAATATAATATATAACGGTGGGTATCGAAACAGCAGTGTTCTTTGAAAGTTGGAGACGTCTCCTAAGAAATTTAATACCTCTTTCCTGTAAAAAGGAATCATTAGACGAATAAATATGAACGCCATGTGTAAAACTAAAATATTGTATATTATAGAACATAGGCATTATTAAATGCAATCATATTATCTATGCTTGCATTTAATATTGCCTGCTTTATATGTGCTATGCATATGTACCTAAGAAAGTGTGAGTTGAATATTAGTAGCATAAATAATACACTGAGCTGAGAAGTCACGTATCGTACGTAGCTGTCACGACTGGCTAATTACTGGAAATTTTCGCCCTGCGGATACCACGGGCCCAGGTTATAAACCGTAATCAATGCGGCGGTCTCAATTGTGGTCACCTAAATCGAAAGCAAGCATCATGCGATGCTGTACATTAGAGGTTACGTATGGAGATTACTCAGAAATTAGAGATTTACTATTTCTCTCAAGTTTAAGTCATTAATGTAGATTCTGTTCAGTGTGTACTATTTAATACCATGAAAGAAAACGCTTGAGGCTAACGCAAACTTAAATAGTAAAAAGATAACGATTTGTCTGCTGTTAATAATTAACTTGATTATATACTATGAAAGAGTCTAGCTAAACAACGATGATAGGTGATGCGCTCGGGGTTGACACTGAGATAAAACTGGCGAAAAACTACACCAACGTATTTTCCAATTAGTTAGACAAACAACGTCGTAGAGAATAATAAACAGTATATTATGTACCCTGTATAATGTAAAGCTAGAATTTTAAAAGCTCTGCCCACAAGTGCAGTTATAGCCTTTGAAACAGCCGTTATAAACGACTGTCCTATTAATAACCAAAGAAACTGAGGATATGTGTACCTGCACCAAGAGGGGAGACCCCTAATATTCCAATCGGAAACCTTGATGACGTGCGTTTGAAACATTTTCTTACATTTCGTTAAGCACGCAACAGCCTATTCGTGAATGTACCGGGGTAATTATACAAACAATACGACAGCTGTCTTGTACACAGATAGGCCCATTTTTTAGCGTGGCCTAACTCATGACTATTGTATTATATAGACAAAATTTTCATGTGGGGTTGGATTTGTTATTGAAGAGAATTAAGATTTAGCTTACTTGGTCAAAGGAAGGATAGGGTTATATAATGACACAATAGCTGGTAGTAAGTGTCGCTAGATACCATATTTGACTTTACCCAATGGTAACTATCTTGAAAAACATATATCACAAAAAGTGGTTATGTAACTTATGATAATATGATGACTAATGATAGGATAAAAAAGCGACGATTATTCCGCACCACGTTCTCTTCACTAGTAACCTTTTTTCGCCAGGAATTATCGCAAAAGTTCCCACTTAGTACGATCCTTACGGTTTTTGGATGGGGTTAATTACTTTTCTACCAATTTGTCTACGCATCTAATCTAGGTAGCGTTACTGCACAAAAAACAGGTTCTTTTTGCTCCTAGAAATAACCTAAGTAAGCTGATGAGTGATAATGAAAAGTGTCTCTTAATAATTCTATTATCTTCGCTGGAATCACTGGGCGATTTTTATAACAGGTTATCACTGCGCGCTGCACCAAATCTTGTTCCGACAAAGAAAAAAAACTCTTCATTGAATGGTAGCATTGTTCGGAAAAAATTAAATATTCCTTAGACGGAGATGTGCGGGTCCTGTGAATAAATCAATTTCAGCACATTTCTGTGTGTAACCTCCACGGTCTTATCACAGTTGGTAACGTCTTCTAAAGCAACGGTACTTCGTTCTGCTAGCGTACACGGGACGCCGCACTGCTTCGAAAGTGGTCATCGCCCAATCGAATGCGACGAGCATTGCCTGGTTTGCCATCACTTGACAGGACTTCAGAAAATAGTCGCATCACACGAGTGGCATAGACGGGCGTTCTAAGCACTTTATCGCTCTGTTTCTAACGGCAATTAGCGCGGATCGCTTGTAATCGCTTATAATCGCTTGTTTCGAATAACGCACAAGCGCGCATTTCAGACAGCTGCCACTTCTTAACGCTGTGTCTGGTGCGCATTCGATAAAGGTTGCGAATTATGTGATTTTCACCGGATGAGTTCTCATCGCGCTTTTCTATTGCCCGCTCATAACGTGCGATTTATGCCACCTGCTGTATTAGCTGAAAGGAGCTGTCTCGAAGTCTAGAGAAGGACTAGCTATGTTATAAACTGGGTGTTCGATCATGCTTGTGTAAGTGTGTTTATCATTATCATACCACAAAACTTGTCTCTACTGTTTTGTATTTGCATGGATGGCACACCGGTACGGCAACAACAAGGCCATTGATGCATCATTGCTGCCCGTATTCTTCCGAATAGTAACCTATAGTAACAACAGCTACGGTGGACGCCACAGCAAAGGTAAATAGCTGCAGTCCCAGCTGATGCTAAACGTTAAACCACATCGAATCGCCCATCCGATCGTACACCCTCCCACCTTTTCGTTCAGTTGTACTTTGCTGTTAGACGGGCTTCGCCATTCACCCCCGTTGGAAAATGAGTAACCTCAATTTGATCGGCGTTTTGCCTATTTTTCATTGTTTGTCGGCGAGCGTGTAGTGCCGACCTGTTGCGTTCTTCTTCCTGATGGTGACTATTGACGTCGCCGCCTTAAGGTTGACACCAATTGCCGCTGCAGCCATTGTCCGTCATTATCGCGATAACAACTGAACATCAAGCGTGAAAGGTACGCCAGGAGTTACACAGGCGCTAAGTAGCAGCAGTATTACGGGGGTAGAATCGTGTATTTTTCTTGCTCAGTCTCTGTCTGGGGCAAGTGCTTTATAGGGTTGATACAATTCCCGGCTGCTTCCGTGACTGTGGATTGGCTGGGGCATCGATGGCTGCCCTGTGACTTTTATCGAGGTCGTGATCGACGTTGTGATTGTGCACGATCTTCTCCAGCTGGTTCTAGCTTGTTAAATGTTCAAACTTGGTCTAGCAAGACTGAGATGGTTCGGTATACACGTGCACAAACTTTCTGTGGTCAGTACGATCATTTAGTGCGAGTGCGTTTTTTCAAATTCGTCGTGGTATTCTAGTCGCCTGTATTTCATTATGATTATTGTTACAAGTGCCTTACTTAACGATTCGTTGTTATTTCGATGTTCACGAAGGACCTTTCTATTCGTGTGATCTCTTCGTCTGATTTGTGTGTGGTTGACCACTATTTGCCCGCAAGTCACTCTCACAAGTGAATATCTGACATCGTACACAGCTTAGCCACACGCGCTGCTTCGTTTGCGAACTTTACTAACAAATCACAGTCAGCCACGTATCTTCGCGTAAGACAAGCGGGTCGGTTTTCTCTGTCAGGCAGTAGTGACCAGACGGGCGGACGGGCGGACGATCGCTTCGTGGCTAGCTAGCGTTGCATTGAAAGCGCTCATCAGCGTCACAGCCGCCGCTGTGTAGCGTCAACCGTAGGTAGCCGATAGTTACTGTCATCATCGACAGTAGGGTAGCATTCCGTCGCGATTCGCGAGAGAACGTTGCGTGGTCATACGGCTGCTGCTGACGGCAGACCGCGCCAAGGATCGGCTCGCCACTGGGGTGGAGCGTTGCAGCCATTCAGCGGTCTGTTAGTATTGACGGCCCTTCCCTTGCGCGACCGATTCCCTCTCTTCGCTCGACCAGGCATGTTGTATCAGTGGCCGGCTGATTAGCATGAGGTTATTTTGCCGCACTGTCTCACGAGCGGCCACGGCTCCACTGCCCACTGTATCTGCAGAAGCGGGCATAGCAGGCGCGACAGGAACAGCCGCGGCGGCGGCGGTGGCAGCAGCAGCGTCACCGGTGACCGACGTCTTTTTCGCCCGACGTCGCCTTCTGTCCACAACGACCAGCAACGGTATTGGCATTGTAAGATCAGCCGTGACACCAATCTCATCCGCGGCGACGAGCCTCACTTGCACGTCAACACCGGCTGGATCGGGACGCTCGGCCACTGTCTTCACGGGGATATCCTGCAGTAGCAGTGGGCCAGCGCTGCACCCACCACGGCCAGACGCATCCGTTTCAGGTGGCCAGGCGTCGCCGAAGCCCTGCTGGACATTATCTGCTGTCCACAGGGTACGGCAGTCCTCGACGGTCGCCAACTGCAGAACTAGCCCCTTCCTCAATTGCACCTGCTGCAGTAGTGAACAATTCATCGGCTATCAATTATCGCGTCCCGCGGCCCTATCTGTCACCCCTACCCATACCAGCGGCCAAACTGCTAATAGACATTCCGTCGTTGCTCTTGGCAGTTCCGGTGCGGCCGATTGTAGCAGAAGAACTGCGACGGCAGCCGCTTCCACCGCTGCTGCAGCTGCTGTGGTTCTGAGATCAGCAACAGTGCCTACAGGGATCAACGGCCGAAGGCGTCGTCCTTCAGGAGCTATCGCAGGTCTCCTACAACAACTAGTACAGGTGTTACTTCAGCAGCGCTACCGTCAAGAATCTGAACAACAGCAACAGCGACGACAGCCTCTAAAGCCATTGAGGCCGGAACAACAGTTGGCATATTTCACCCAAAAGATCATCAATCAGGAGCAGCAACAGCCAAGTAGAAAAGAGTACGAACAACATTTGCTCGAGTGCTTCATCGCAACGAGTCGTCATCGTGCAGGCACTTGTGAGACAAGTTCTACTGCTGCAGGTGTCACCGGATCAACGATCTTCGGCCAGAGTATTAATGATCTCACCTTTAGTCTGCATCCGGAAGTGAGGTCTGCGATGGCACAGCGCGACGGAGTCGTTAGCGGAGCTGGAGCAGCTGATGGCGGAGTGCAACCAGGAGACGAATATGCTGGAGCTGGCAGCAAGAGTGGGTCTGCCGCGTCCTGTGCTGGCTGCAATCAACCGTTCGCGCCAAAACGTGTTCTTGTGCTTACGAAGTTTTCTCGGTTAGAATTCGAGAAGCGGCGACATCAGGAGCTCAGCGAGGAAGAGCTTATTCGAGACGTGAGTGTGACCTGAGTTGAGAGTGCGTAAATACGTTTGTTTGACGTGTCCATATCAGCGAGATGAGTTCGCAAATGTACACACCCTCAGCGAACCAAAGGCAGTGCGCTAGAGTTATAGATCAATGTTACGGACTGATCAGTGATGGTCTGATCTAATGTGAACTCTGCTATGCGCGAGAGCTAGGCGGTAGCTGCGAGTACTGTATTATTGATTAAAAACCGGACTACTCTAGTTCACTCGTTGATTCCTGTATCAGATCTTTAGTAGCAGGTTCTCCTATTGGTCTAGCTTATACAAGCTGCGTTTTAATGGACCTTCGTAACCATAGCTGTCTTGAGTGGGACAATTGGAAGGTGTCAGATGCTCAACGAAATTATATATCTTCCATTACGAGTAATCTACGATTTGCTCTGAAAGTGACTCAATCACAAAAACAGTCTGTGACTCAACCATCTAGGTGGTCTTATGTGCCTAGCGTATTTTTTCAAGCTGCACAATTCTTGCTTAGAGTTGCATACAAACATATTTTGTCAACGCGTCTTGCAGAGTCTCAGGAAGCCTTTAGCTCTTCGGATATGTTATGCATTTCGGTCATTTGGATTATTGTTTACTGCTTCTACAAGGAATAGAATTTCCTTGTCTTGTAATCGTCTTGGTGATTTTGGTTCTTCAGTGCAATTTTTTTAGGACACGCAGTCTATCACCGACCGTTGGCATCTTATTCATAATCAGCGTAAACTGTGTTTGCCTCTTGATAACAGCATCAATTATTCGCTTCAAGCTCGCAAGAATACTAATTACGCAGCAGTATGGCATTATGGCTCGAAAAATTGAACTTGCAGTTAGAAATGGCGAGATCATTTTAATTAACTGAGCCTGCTAATTGAATGTGTGATTTTCGGCTTGAGAATGTTAATTCAAGTCGAGCACTTGTCCTCCGAAGGCATCTTCTGTTGTACGATATGGTTACGATTGACACTTGTTAAATCTGTTATTAAGAGGACTGTGACAACTGAAAAAAAATGAACGGCAACAAAAACAATTCAAATGTTAGCCTCGTTAGCTGCCTGCGATGGCAGGCTGTTGCGGCCGCTTTACGTGCGCGGTTTACGTGATTGCTATATAGTTAAGTAATTGAGACTTATTTCTGCACTCGGCACTGAGCTCCGAGGAACATCTAGTGAGGCAGGTCGGAGTCAAATAGCTATCGCACGATAAAACATGTTTGTAATTTGTTATTACGAGCAATTATTGATTCGTTCCATAATGTATTGATGTGAATAGCATTCACCTGGGACCAGTCTCCGGTGGCTGTTGTTGTTGGTGATGATGATGAATCATTAATTATCCGGAGAAAAAATGGCGGGAAAGCTGGTAGCACGTTCAGGTAGCTAAAGACACCTATGCATCAGCAGCCAAGTGTTCCGGACCGTATACGCCTTCACAAACAGAAATATCTAGTAATTTCACTATGTCATTATCATGCTGATACGCTTCATGTTTAGTAAAACGTTCGACGACGTTATTGTGAACCGTTTCTCTTTGTACGTACACGTTCGGTGTTTTTTGCTACGCTGCTTTGTTATCAATTGTAAGTAAACGTAACGTATCTAACAAATGCTGGAATTGAGAGCGTTATCCATCTGTGACTATATTGTCTCAGAGCTTGAGAAACTCCTGCGACTTGGAACAGTTGTTTCTTGGTACTGAATGCAGCAGCAGTAGTAATACCGAACTGAGATTGTTGAGCACCGATGTTGACAGTTCATAGCTCTAACGGCTGTTTACATTCGCCTCCTCTGTAGTTCACTGATTCATAGACGAAGACAAGCACCGGACTCAAATTCAAACAGTATCGCACGCTGATTCTCACAAACATTATTGTTCGACCTAATGGCATTTTATCTATAAACGGCAAGCCCATTCATAAGATTAATGAAATATAAAGGGTCGCTCTGTTCAAAGATTGCATACGGTTTCCAATTTATAGAAAGCCTAATTTAACTATGCGTTTCTACTAATCCGATCGTTTATGAATCTCTATGAATTAATGAATAATAATTCGTTACCGTTCGCAACGAAGAGAATAAAACTGGCAGAAATGTTCCGCAGCTTCGGTGGCGTTTACAAACAGCCACTGCAATGCCGTGATAATGATGCTATCATGCAATGCATATTCGTTGTGTGTTGTTCGCCGTTGTCGCCTATTAGCACATGGCCCATTCGTTCTAGCGATTTTATCCGTTTATACCAATAACGGCCTTAGTCTTGTATGGTTGGATAATCTGCCCTGATGCTTGAAGTATTTGCGAACTATGTATATCTATATGTAAGTATATATAGATAAAAGATCTTCCTGAAATACTCATAAGATAGCGTATTAAAGGATTTTTATTCTTGGTCAATCTTTGGACGCGTGCAGTGGCTCACAACTTGAGGCTCCGACGTCGTTCTACACTTCAGTGGTTCTGGAGCTATGAAATGTGAGGGTTCCGCCTTGTAGCCACGCAACGTCTTTATAGACTTCAAATCCTCTCGACTTTTGTCTGTTACTTTTTTGCTGGAGGTGCTTTTGTTATAGCACAATGTTTTATAGTACTAACGCCACACGCAGACCTAGAACTAGGGTTGAACAACGAATGGTAAAGTCAACCCGAAATTGGGGCATTTTTGATTTATTGGCTTACTACTCGTGAGAGATTGTTAAGCCGTTTACAGCACTATGTGCATCTGAAAGAGGCCGGCAAACCGCGAAATTAACTCCGTGGCTGGTAATGTGGTATCAAGCGTAGGGTCTAAGTTGTTCTATCCATATTCGAGGACTGACGCGTTTGCCAGCCCTTTGCTATGTCGGTTGTTATCGATTATTGCTTGGTTTATCGTTGAGCCGTCGACTCTTAGCAGCTGTCCCGGAAATGGTCATTAGTCAGCTTGCGAAACACTGACAATAAACGGTCGACTGATATTTTTGTAAACATTTTGACTAGAATCCTAACAGGAATACTGAGATTATAAATTTTAGAGTTTTATAGCTCATATTTTGTGTATGCGAAAAGTGGCTTATAACATATGTCCCTGAATCAATTTAGGAATTTTAAATTTTATACATCTAGCTAAATTTAGACTGGCAGGGGTTTAACCAGTTTTTACCACGTATAGGCTGCATAATAATCATTGCTATTAGCTTTCTGCTTAAACCAATGCATAGAGCAACTTAGTCACCATAAACCGACCCTTTGCTCTTCAAGAAGAACTATCAATCAGTCTCTAATCACAGAGTCGCAAAGCATTTCCTTTTTTGTACGAAATGTCTCCTATTTATGAGCCTTGGCGAAGTTCAAGGTTACAAAGCATAGGGTACAACGCAGTACGGTTGAACTATACAGATAGCTTATATTAAGCAACCGTATGCCAACTCTAATGGAAGTGACTGTGAGCTTCCCTGAGAGCCTTTCCGACGAAATTCCGTTGACGTTTAGATGTCAGTCGGTAGCTGAATATCGTATGCACGACCCTGTCATGTCACCTCCTACTGCTGGCCCCATAGCAGTGAATACCAGCTGTCCTTTCTGAGGGGGCGTTATGCCTCTTACGCTTTCACTGCCAATCCCAATATCCCTTATATGCCCTTTGTGCGCGAGTGGGCAATCTGGAGTGGGCAATCATATTGATTTCTCCTGAATAGTTCGTTGGAGTCCGAATGTTGCTTTCAAGTGGCTGCGGGGTATAAGATTATGGGACGTTTGCTCCTATTTAGAGTTGGCATTTCCATTTGGTTAACCCGCAATTATCCTATTATGATATTTCCGAAGGCTGACTTAGCTATCAAAACCTTTTCAATCAAATTTATGATACCGTTTGATAATTTGTCTGTCGTCCCGTTCTTTATTATTAAGTTGTCCAGGATACATGTGGTGTGGTAAAAATCTCTTGGCAGTCTGAGAATTCATATTTTACCCCGGTCTAAGCAGCAAAAGAGTAAAAAAATACAGACCTCCAACTTGTCAAATGACTTCTGCCACACTTTTATATATATATAAACTTCTTTACGAAATTGTCTTATCGTTCCTTTTACTAATATTTACTACACACTTTTTACGTAATGCTTATATAGCCATGTTTTATAACTAAACAGGCGAAAAGCTTCATTTTGTTTAATTGTTGGACTAGTGTACATTTAGATCACATATTTTGTGTACATTTCGTGCCAGATATCGAAAAAATGACGACGTAAGAGTTTAATCGTGTTTCCTGTTTGTTTACAGCTCGAGGCACGGGGTTCAGACTACCAGTCCCTTTTACATCATCACAACGTTCATTCGAGGAACAGAGATCTTGTGGTCGACACCCTCAGGTACAAAATACATATGGATACATATAATTATTAAAGAGTATACTAGCTTATTTTGTTTAGGTTTAGGGACGTTAGGCCTCACATGTAAGTTTTTGCGGCTGTATTGTGGGACTTCAGCCAGCATTTTTTAAATTGTAGTATCTACTACTAACGTTACACCTTACTCTATTCGTGGTCCTGGGTTGTCCTAATCGCGAACAGAAGATTACTATTAGATTATCTGAGATTATTCTTTTATCAGTCATTCTACTCTAGCGATCAGAAGATTGACCGCATAATTATAAGATATGTTGGAGAGCACGATGCGTGAGAATAATTTTTGCCTATATCCTAACGCAAATGGATTATCTAGGTACTTTAGCAGAGGTAATACTACAAGGTTAGTGATCAAGCAGATTCATTAAGTCAAGTCAAAACAGGAACATCTTTATTTAAAAAAGTATATGGTAATACGTTCTTTAGGATCATCTCAGTGAATCTTTTAAAGTCCATAAGAATATAATATTGATTAGTTCAATTTATTTAAAATTGTTTGTGTAAGGAGTATGTGCACAGATTAATGGTGTTATATAAATTTGTCCAGCATTTAATAGTGGTGGCTTTACCAAGCTGATTTAGCACAGTTGCGTGATTACTTATAAATGCACGTTATTGCTTTCTTGATTGCATTCAGTGTGCATGTTCGTACATGGGCAATAGTATATTTTAGTGTCCCATAAGGGCGGGACAGTTTAGCAGACCACTTTAAGTACGATTTTTATCATTTTGCATCGTTTCACGCGTGAAATTACTGTTTGACATTGTAACATTATTTGGCTGACCATTAGCACAACATAGCTCACTGTGTCGTGACGCTTGTATTAGGTTAAGTCCGCTACCATTAATGACTACCAGTCCTTATTAGTTTCGTCATATGCATCAGTTGTGAACCGGCTTGCCATACCTGTTCGTTCGATTTGTTTTGTTCTGAACAATACTACAATTACTACCGATAAGGCATTATAAAGTTGTGAAGGGTAGAAATGCATCACACAAAAGAGGAGCCAAGTTCTCCGTTCAAAGCCAAACGCTTACGAGCGCTGCTGTTTGCGCGATAATTACTAGCGACCTTGACCGCTATTGATATACTTTAAAATAGGGAAACTCAATTGCCGATTGGACGAACGTTTACATAATTGGTATCGACAAGTCGGTAATCGCGCGAAATTCCGCACCACTTTTTTGTGTTGTGACGGCATCATTATAGAATAATAAATATATTGTCAATAATCGATCTGGCAGTGAATAACAAGAAATAAATGTAAGCCTAGCTTCCTTCCTGTTTCTGTATTTTTTGTATCCTAGAGAAGAGATTATTGCTATACTACTGAGTGTTTGGTCACAACTTGCGCTATCATTAAATATCCAAAGTGCCTCTGCAAATTCAGCGATTTTAAGGTTATACAATGTATTGCTATTTGTTTTCGTGCAGACATATTAAAGTTCGTTTCTGGTAAGTCTAAAACACGTATTGTTTCTTAACTATTCAATGTCGAGCTCACATTGTCGTCTTAGCCGTTCTTTAGTCGCTAGGCGGCGTTGTACGCTTCTTGTATTATACGTATCTAAAATCGTCTTTTATTCGCAACCTTTTCCGGTAAGTAATCTACCATCACTAACAATGATTGATGCTTTGGCGTTGATGATTTTCTTTAAATCAAGAATCGTTCGCAGTTACGTATGACGATAATCGATTCAGTGAGGATTGATTTAAGGAAGACACTTTATAGACTGTTGTCTGCCGTTACTTCGGACCTCTTCCTATGGCGTGACGTGCTCGATAGTTCAACTTCGATGCCTTGTGTTGCATTGGATTCAGCGCAAATACGCTTCTATTATTTTATTATACCTGTATCACAACTAGCATAGAAGTTCTGGAACGAATAAATAGAAATTAAAATGATGCGCCATTGAATGCTTTTTTTTTAAACTATAAGTTTGCCATTTAGCTTTCAAGATGCATCTTGTGCCCAAAGGAATCATGGGAAGAGTCCCTCTGTATGGTTGTATCGATGCGGTGTCGAGCTATAGCATTCCAATAGCTTCATCAATATTTTGCTGGCACAATTTTCCCCATGTTTTGACATGTTTACCAATGCAGGATGTTTCCAGTGATTCCAGGATTTCTATACGATTGGCACAACAACAATTTGCATGATTTAAATGTAACTTTACCATTAGCACAGCCTCTACTTGAAAACATCGATGCCAGCTTATTTCTCATGAGGAAAACGATTGTAGACACAGGAAGGATTGGCACAGGGAAGTCGTTTTTACCGATATCGCCCTTAAGGTAGCTTAACTCGCGATTGACTGAATCCCGTCATTTTCGGCCGTCGGTCTATGTGTAGATACTTAACTCATATGAATAATCAGCTTGTTTAACGAAAACGTGGAAACAGTGGGAAAACCTCAAGTGATGCTCGTGTATTTTATCGAGGATCAACGGTCCTTGCAACACCTTGCCGTATGTCCGACAAAGACGGTTTTCGTAAGGAGGCCGAAAGATATTCGCTCGATGTAAGCGAGATGGGGCAAAGCTGTTCACTGTTTTTGTTTGAGCACTTATTATTTTATCTAATAAATAACTGAAACAGGTTCGAATGTAAGGAAAGAAGAGATTGAACTGTTCTGTTAATGGCAAGAATTGAATAACTCTTATATAGGTTTGTCGTCTGTAATTTTTATGTTTCTGTATGCGATGACTTTCATTTAGCTCGTGCAGCTTTAATGATAAAATAATGTCAATAATTATTGCCGTTTGTTTGTGTCTGATACAATTGTACCAGCTTCTAAAAAAATTAATTTGATATGATAATAATAGTTCACTATCGATTTTACTTATTCGGTGTTTGGGTCTGTAACAACATAGTCTTAAAAGTATTCGAGAATTAACCTGGTGAAACGCGTTTTGGAGTGCACGGAATTCTGAATTGTTTTTTTTCTAATAGAACCTCATCAAAAGATCCAAGAAATTGCATAGGGTGTTAAATTGAAGCTACACCGTTTTTACAGCATTACATTATATTTCTCAATATTAACCATACACATATTATATGAACAATATTGACAGGTACACCTCCGGACCTATTATTCTGTGGCATTTGCCCTCACTTAAAATTGAAGAAAATTAGAATTGTGAGAGTACGTTTGTTGATTTGGCACTAATTAATATCTATGCCGCTGAAGTTAACTAAAATCTTTTCGTCCATTAAGGCTCCATTCTGGGAGCCTCAGTGTTCTCATCTGATAGGTAAATTTCGGAAAATTCGATTGTTTTGCTTACAGCTGAAGTCTCACTTTTTATTTAGGTTTTAAGTTTAAGAGTTTAAGCATTCAGACCTTTAAAAACAATCATAAATCTGAAACGGTCCGGTTAACTTTAAAAACCGAATTCCGAAAAAGTCTACATCTTTAAATACTTACATTTGAAGTGGATACAAAGTCAAACAAATGTTAACAGCAAATTAAGCAGTATTTTTTGGGGGTTAATTTTTATATTTACAGAAAGGCGGGCCTAGAAACTCGACTCGTGGATCGTTTCGAGTATACAGACGCCAACGTGGAGTGGGCAGATGTGATTTTTACAACAGGTGGCGATGGAACCTTCCTAATGGCTGCGAGTAAAGTTTTGTCACGCGACAAACCGGTTATTGGGATCAACTCCGACCCTTCTCGGTCTGTGGGCTACCTCTGTCTACCCGGAGATTGTACCGAAGATTTCCCAAGAGCGCTTCAGAAGTTACTTGATGGACAGTTCAGGTTTGAAGTACAGCACAATAAGTAGGTACTTATTGTGCTGTACAATTGTGTATTGTTAGTACTTATTGTTTTGATCAGATAGAGAGCGCAAGAAACAGAAGTATGTAATATTTTTCAGTCTTTCGCATAACCTATTACTCGATGTGGATTGTTTTTTTACTTTTTTAGATTGTATCTGCATTTTTTTTTTTCTAAACTTGAGAGCACTGCAGCCTCGTTACTAATTTGTCTGATAAACTAAGCTGTTACTTCTTAAAGGATAATATCAATTCTTTTCAACGACGTATTGAATCTTTGATGCGATTAGGATTTCTGTCAGAGGTTCTTATGAAATTTTCTGATGCGATTACTTAGCGCAGATGATTTTGCATGCATTGCTTCTTTCGGTTAAGATACCTATTATGTACCGATTCTTCAGAAGTACTTGTCTGATTTTGGTCATTCAATAACCATTAGTTTCATGAACTTGGAAGCCGTATCCCTCTGTCGAGCGTAACAAGGATTCTTCCGTATTTCCAGTCGTGATTTTATCAATTAATATTTATTACACGATAATTGCTTCAATAATAAAAAAAACTGTCGCCTTTCCTACCTATATTGTATAAGTAAGGCCATTTTTTTTTGTTGTATTAGCAGAAGTTTCTGTTGTATACCTTTTAATCATTAAATTATATCAAAACGTTATTACAACTTCGTCTTACATAAGTGATTTCTTGAACTAAATATTATCGTGGTCTGCCATAGTCTCCGCTTGAATACAGGTCGGACAATGATAGCGGATTTTCCCTATCTGGCACAAGCCAAAGCGGTAGCGGAAACACCTGTAGTAAATAATGAGTCTAGCATACATACACCGTATAAGCAGCGCGCATTATTAACTGCTGCATCATAGTGTGAGGCCGCCCTCACTTGTACTTGATAAACGTTAGCAAAGAAAAATTTTCGTGTACCGCTGAATAAAAGCTTAACGTAAATTTTACTTGATAAATACTTAAATAAATAAATTGCTCATATATCTTCAGCCGAAGAATACTACTCTGGACACATTAATGAGAAGTCCGATCAACTTAACCGATACCTGGTCCGATTATTAATTTTTTGTCACATTAGTGTATTACATGCTTAGCTAATATACGAGCTGCTCTTGCATGAAGTATCTCACGTTGGAGTGGAAACAGACGCGAAAACAACTAGCTACAGGGCTCTTATAATTAGAGTCGGGCGCATTGTGGCGCAAGTTATTCCAAAGCAGTGATCGGGATCCCTCTTACTTTTGTGTTGCTCTTGCCTCAGGTAGGCAGACAGGAAACGGTATAGCTGCTCTTACGTGTTTGATAGAAAAAGTTTTTAGTAGAAATATCTGGTCATGCTGGTCCCTGTGAACGCATAGTAGTTGAGCTGGGGACAAATGTTATTGACAAATGACATTTTTATGACAAAGTTAGCAAATTCTATAGCAGATGAGTGACCATTCTGAGTTGGCGCCTTCCTGCATAGATGACATGATTTCGTATCTGCTGGGCGTCTGGCTAACACTAAGGTGAAGTGAGACAACAGGTTTTGTTGACATACTCTAGGTAGCTCATAAATACGATGGCTTGCTACCAGAGAAGCCCTGCTGTATTGCGTCTGTTTATGCTATGCCTAACGCATCCAATGACCATGAATGAAAATAAAACCAAGAATACCGGTGTGAAAAAGTATATTTAGATTGCGGATAATGACGTGTGCCTGGACGTCGCCGTTTCTTTGGTAGAGAACTAATTTTTCTAGCAGTTTTTACCACCATTTCATAGTAGGTTTACAAACCGTTTTTAATTATAGTTGGAGTACCGTATCTTTTTTTCTGTGCTAGTTGTTCGTCCTGACAGAAACAAATGTATTATTTCCTATTGTTAGAAAATGAATGTTTCTTAAAGTACGCTTTCAAATTTGTGCACCACTCATCAATCAGCTGCTATATAAAACTAATTGCTGCTAATGGACGATCAATTTGCAATAAATCTTGCCAAGTATCAATCACCAGTTTTCGTATGACATTTTACATTACTGCATGTTCGCTCTTAGTATCCTATCAAAAAGGAATTGAATATTCAATCTATAACTGCGTATTACCGCAACACCGCGCTTGTACCTTCCAAAATGATCCGATTGTTTGTCCCTTGACTAATTTATGCAGATGGCAATGGCGACAGCGTATCCGGGTGACTGTGCAAGGTAAGGACGCATTCGAAGCTCCAATCGAACTACATAATCAGCAGCTGCAGTACCCCGAATATCGTTTCATCGACTGTATTAACGAAGAGCATAAACCGGCCACGCCTGCGACTCCAACGCATATTGACGGAGCTACCGGAGTCACTGATATTCCTCCTGTTCCCGCGAAACCTCCAGCACCCGTTCGAATACTGCCGATTAAGTCACTTAATGAGGTGTTTGTTGGAGAATCTCTGTCTTCAAGGTTAGTCGCTCTCTCACCTTGATTAGGTTGGGTAAAATAAAATAAATTCGATATTATACGCGAAATGTTTGAATTTTTCTAATAGATATAGCCAGTGTCGAGTGACTATAACTGCTTGACATATCAGTTTTGATTGATAACTAGATTTAGCAATCTATAAAAATTAAATGGCGTTTCGGCCATCTACGCGTGCTGAGTATGATATGAACTGGACTGCACGTGTAGCAGTTACTTGAATTTTTCTAGGAGCTTACCAAAATTCTTTGTCTATACATAATCGTCAATCTTCGTCAAGCTTCCTCCTATAACGTATAGCTTTATTTTATTATCTGTGTACCCTGTTTTTATGAAAGTCAATTGCAACTAAGCAGCTTCTCGTGGAGCGACATAATAATCACAACTTTATATTTATATAAAACCGGCCTCTCTCCATATTTTATACTAATGTCTTTGTGTTTGCAGGGTGTCATACTATGAGATCTCTATCGATGGTTCGAAACCCACAAAGGTGAAAAGTAGTGGAGTGACCATGTGCACGGGAACTGGGTCAACGTCTTGGTCGTTTAATATTAGCAAGGTGACGCCACAATGCGTCAAGCGCGTTCTTGAAATTGTGCAAACTAAAACGGGAAAAGATGTCGGAGTCGACAACCAGAAATTAATCGATGAGGTAGAGTTTATTATTATGCATCTATATAGCTGTGATAAATTTACACAAAAAGTCGAATAGTTTATTTTGGGTAGCTGCTGTAGACAAGCGAATATTAAGAATTTGTGTGATAGGTTTTGTATTTATTAGCCTAGACTCAGTTACTAGCTGTGCCAAAGTTTATGAAGTTTATATTATCCAGTCACTCTTAAACAGCGCGATTATAATTGATTAGCGGACTAGAGCTTTACAAAATACATGCCCGCTTTCATTATAATATCTATATAATGGTATGTCTATACGCTTTTAGGTTACAGCAGAGTTTAATGATAGCCTCATCTTCGACCCTTCGGAAGCCCTCATGGCTTACACTATAAGGGACCCTGTCTTCATTGGTAAGTGCAACTGGCGCTCGCATCTGCGCAAACATCTAACCACTGTTCTGAACAATATGAATTAATTATTGTAGTATTATAATTTTCGTTATTTAACGAATTCATTCCGCGAAGTGGAGGTTCGTTTATATTAAGGAATGACCAGCACATCCGACAATGTTACCACAAAATTCGTCATTGCACTAAACATATAATTTATATCGGTATTAAGTCTTGCCTATGTCATATTCATGTAAATCTCATCGCATATTTTTCTCTAGGGACAGACTTCAGTAGTAAGCCGCGCGGGTTTGCCAAAAGGATCGAGATTCGTTCGCGAATGTTTGATGCCTGTATTGTAATCGATGGCTCGCTCTCATTCATTTTCAATGACGGGGCCATAGCTGTGCTCGAGATTTTGGAGCAAGATGGTCTCAAAACGGTCGCTATTGACTAAAAAATTCAACTTTCGACTATGAGGTACATCCAGTGCCTTTGCAGAATGGTGCAAATGGGGAAATCAGGAGCCTGCAAGGGTAAGATGCGGAATAACAAATTGTCAAGGGCATGAGATCTTGAACTGCTAATTACGATTTGTTAAAGGCTCAGTGATTTGATGGATTCATTTAAAAATAGATACTTGATTTATACAGATGCAAGTCACACAAACTCACGTACGTGCGTGCATATTGACAGGAACGCTTAAGATCCGACCCAGCTGCTTCTATCAAAAGATCAGGGTTGACTGGTGGGTTTGTATGAAAGTTTGAGCAAGCAGAATTGCTATACAACAAACCTGCTTGCGCTCGTTGGTCAAAATATTCAAGGAAGTAAGAAATCGTGGGACGCAAACATTTCTTATAATATAATGTCGGACAGAACTCTGGCCGGTGGAGAGCTTCATCTATTAGCACATAATGTGCGTTAATGAGAATGTATTTGGTGAAGACCGTAACTTTTGTATTTTACAGCAAAAAATAAACCTACGAATTTCTTTGAAGTGGACGAATTCATGGTCTAACCTTGCTTTGACCCGGGTCAATGTCTGGGTTATTAAGATATATTTCTCTTTCATTAATTTACAAAATTGCCAAACTCTTAAAGTTATTGTTATTAAAGTTAAAATTACTTATTTCGATAGCTCTACAAGAACGCTTTAGTAAATAGGAACCGACCAAATTTTTAAAAACGATCAAATGAATTATGAGATGATAAAAAACTGATCGCTAAGGCATAGAATATATCATAAAAATGAAGAACTTTAGCATAAAGCTTTTTGTACATGTGCGCGTGTCTGTTGATACGTCAGACTTGGAAGAGGTTTATCATGATATGCACCTCATGTTCTAAATGAGGGTAAACCGTAAAACTCGGTTGCTTAGGACGAAGACGACCATATATATACGCAAAGAACTACAAGTATCTAGGATATGTAGTGCAATATAAAAGTATATATTGATAAATGTAACTACACTTCAGATACATGAGCGGACGCAATGAGAACAAGGACCCTGAACTAGGCCCACCTCAGACATAACCATGGTTTCTATACACTAAATCTATTACAACATTATATTATATGAAAAACAACAAGAAAACAACTGTGCGATATCCGAATCGCCTTATTGAACTACTGATTCATAATAATGATATCATCGTATACATATGACAAATTGAAAGATAACTATATAATATACATATATCGAGATCACTCAGAACCCTTCAGTTGTCGGGTTGTGTAAGATTCTTCAGTCTTTGTCGACCGGGACTCCTGCAATCGACGACGGGGATGAAAAATTGCCGATTGTGTATATATGATTAGTACTAATAATTATGACAGATACAATAATATGGGTTGTTTAGGCGCCATGAAAAAGGCCCATGAAGTAGAATAACAAAATAACCGAAGAGTTGAATGCGGAAGGCTACTCTAAGTAACAAACGCGGAGAAGTTCTGTGAAACAGGACCTCATCTCTTGCATACAATCAGTGTTCGTCAAATCTCTTATCAGTTTTCGTCATTAAAACAAGTCGACAGACTCTTTGTTATATTTAACAACAACAATAATAATATAAATGATGATAGCTTAAGTAAAAAGTGAACGAAAGTGATCATAGAAACTAAATTTTCGAAAAACCTGGAATACAAATAAATTGTTTTTATTTTAGTAAATAACACGTAATCATTTCAGATATTACCCATAATTAAAATAACGAATTCAATGTCAATAGATTCCGTTTTTATGCGTTTGGGAGGGTACCGGATAGTATCTTTCAAAATTTTAAATTTCGATATGTCTGAGTTAATACTAAAAAAAGTGCCACATGGATGTAGTTATTTATATCAATCAAAACGACTTATTGCCTGACTTGAAAGTAAATAAAGCTCGAATTTGCCCGGACAATAACGTTACCACGAAGCTGGACAACTAAAAGCATCCATTTGAGAAGCTTTTCAGGTCACTAGGTTGGGAACTGCGGATTTAAAAACGTGGCGGTCAATATCGGGTAACTAGAATTAATTTGTTTGTATTGGGACACTATATATCCATATAATGAGTTGATGTCCATCGAAATATTTACGTACACACAACTTGCGTAGAATGTATGGAGGCGTACCAATTGCTGGGTGATTATAACAAGCCGTTAAGACCTCCCGAATAAGATTTAATGCAGATGTAAAGCCACAGCTTCTATAGAGAACATAATAGTTGGCAAAAAACACTGTCCACCAAAAGTTAACACTGTGTTTTATGGTTGATTGTTGACCAATAAATCGAATACATCGTCTCTCTTGACAAATTATTCTGTGGATGAATAAAACAAATATAAGTTACCAACTTTTTTACGATTGCGACACAAATTTATGGTTTAGTAGAGTGTATTATATATCATGATATATATGAGAGACAAAGAAAGCATAAAACAGCGAACTCAGCAAAAATCAGTGCGTTGTTTTGGGAATTCTCACATAGAGGAGATATTATTCAATCTGTTCACTCGCAACAAGCCTTCACCAAGACCATGGACTCCCGTTTTTGCCCGAAATAAACCGTCTATATTATTCGCACTTCTCATACAGCTTCCGAAACATTCGAGGAAGATTTTTACGAGGAAAATCGGAAAACCACTAACAGAAATTAGATTTGAAGAACTCGAAAATGTATCAACTTTGAACTAGAAAAGTTTTTTGTACACCGGATCTTTTACATACAGATTGACGGCCAAATAACATGTAATCGTTATTTTTGGAGGCTTCCTACTCCTTTTGCATCTTTTACACTTATTAACCGCCCTGAGCTCTCGCATTTCTTAAATTTTTAGCCTGCTATCGGTTCAAAATTTATCTTCTTTCCTCTTTTCTTTCTCTCTTTCCTCTTTATTTCTTTATAATTCTCAAGAATTCTGTCTTTGGCGTATTCAATCGACACTTCAAATCTCTACCTACAAATATCGCTAAATACATATTTCTTACAGAATAAATTAGCTACGGATTAAAGAAAAAATATTTTAAAAATGATCGCGTCCTGAATTGGAGATGTAATCGCGGTGAATGAAAGTTATATTGATTAAGCATGACCGTCAAAAATACCACTGACACAGTCGTAAACACAATTCGCAAGAAAAAATCAGGACTTAAGTGCCCCACGCTGTGTATCCTTCGCTTGCGCTTCGCGCTATAAATTTCTGCATAGGTGCCGTGCCTTTACTCGATTCTAGCAATAAGTTCATTTAATTAATGATGACAATGACACAATTACCGTTCGAACAATGAATATTGAATACGCATTTATGTCGATTATTGTATCTCAGCCGCTTTCAACAACGAAAAAGTTTCCACTTGAAACGGTTATTAAATGATGCGTTGTTTATTATTTTTTATTATGTTTACAATATTGTCCTTCTAGAAAACGGCACCCAGGCGTATATACACATTTTATAGTAACCAAACAAGTGAATATTTCTGTATTAAAGACATAACATCTCTATTACTCTTTTTTTCACAAATATACAAAATGTGTGAGAAAAAATTTTAGTCCGATAGATACTGTCTAATTTTTAAATTTGAGTTTGCGTGCTCAAGATCTTAACAGCAGCGATATTTTTTGTAACGCTCATATATATACAATTACATCAAATTATCCTATTCTAGTGAACAAATTCACTTCATAAGCGAGGTAAAGGCCACGCAGTTACTAAAGGAATGGTTGAACCAATGACGATGCTTGAACCGTTTTCATTAAAGAAATCCGCTTTACGTCTACGAAATTTAATAAGGCATTGCTATGCGCCGCTTAATTCCGTTTTTATATCTAACTGTACGCCGGTACACACTGTTATAAGGCAGTTAAAGCACGAGTTTCATGTATGCCTTGCCATGCAGATCGATTTAGTGTAATGCCCCTACCCTCTTTTAAGGGAAAATGTAGGTTCAAGTAAGCCCTATTGTCAGCATTCTAGAGCGGCTACTAACCAGCCGGGTTTGAAGCTTGTCTTGAAGCTCAAAGTCTCTTTTTTAAGGTACGTATTGTAACTGCCGGTAGACCTTATTGTCACTTTGCGCCGATTTTGCTTCTGTTCAGCAACAACAACTATTTTGTATTGCCAAATTCTCGCTTAGTTTTCGATGTATTTTTTAACAAAATACGCTAGCAGATAGCGACCTTTACTTATTGTAGAAATGTCCAATCAGTGCATCTCCCTATCATTTAGATAATTTTTCAAAGACGAATCAGTCAAGTGACTAAAATTAGAACGAAGCTACATCCGGATCTGACGTACCAACAAAGCCATTCCCAATTCAAACGACGCGGATGTGGCTGTTCACTGGAAAAGGATAGTTTGCTGTGTGTTCCGCAACTGCGTTACACTCAGTAGAATTAAACATCACGAGATAGCGCATAAAGCAATAAGAGAACGTAGGATGAAAATGAATGCGATTTCCAGCTGTGTATCAATCTATCAGATACGGAAGACTATCGTAATCAACCGCTATGAAAGTCAATAATTTCTCATTAAAAGAAAGTGAATCCATCTAAATTATAGCGGGCTGATGATTATTACTTGGTAACCTTTTTAACTTAGTCGAAAAGCTATGAAGAAATACTTTTTTATCCACAATTCTAGGGTGTGAACTATACTTTTGAGAGTGAAATAAAACGTCGTTCAATTCGCTACGGCGCATCACTAATGGTAGCTGAAACCAGGACCCTGCTGAAAGCATATTCACAGTGGTTTACCTTGCATCTATTTAGTAAAGAAATACAGGTGCTTCTTTCATGGTAACGGCAGCGCCACGTAAAACATTCGTTGTGAAATCAGAGGTTTTATAGGCCATGTCGTATGCGCGAATTCTACAAAAAGCCGGGCCAGTCATATCGCTATCATAAATCAACACCGAACTTCAACTGACTGGTAACAAGCCCTTCATTAGAAGCATAAGATAAATCGCTGCATAACGCCTATTGGCTTACTGCATAGGTAGTATCTGCTTTTTCAAAACGTTTCCTTGTTTGTTTCTCAACTTTTTGCCTACTTCGCTACGACCTTAAAAGCAGCATCTCTCCTTGGCAATTACGTTGTGCAGCGATTAAATTATATTTTTTATTTTGAGGCAGATATTTCATGTCTGAAAAAACTGTGCTCTTCTAGACCTTTTCGCTGAGATCGAACGTGCCGTATTTCATAAAATCTCTGCAAGGACCGTTTGAAGGCGGCTTGTTACATTAAAGATAACATCTTAGACCTTTAAAATGTACCTTGGCCCTGTTAGCCATTTGAGGTTAATGGGACTCGCCGGAATGCACTTCTGAAAGAAAAGGTACAAACTATTGAAAGTCCGTGTGCTACGAAGTAAGCAAAGAGCCCCAGTGGGCACGGGTTTTCATTACGTCTCAACATATCTATTTCTATCAGTCACAGCTCTTTCGCAGAATTATTGAATGAACGTGTTGTTTTGCGGGTGACAAATCTTTATACCAGCAGAGTAAGTAGCTCCGGGAGATTTACCTAACCGTGGGATCAAATCCAAACGGACCGTGATTTGCGTTTAGTGGGATTGAAAACGTTGTATAAAATTGGAAATGCTTGAGAATAACAAGTCGATTGACAAAAATCTGGATTGGGTGTAGTGGCGTGAAGTTAACGAAGTTATCTAACAGAAAACTCCGATATATAATACAGAGTAATCTTTCTTCGTAATAATAATAGTGCAGGCTCGCACAAAAATCATCATTTAAGTCGTCTTGAAATTCACTATTATTTTTCAAGCCTAACTCCGACTGATTATCATCCTTTCCAATCAGCTGCAATTAGATTCGTAACAGGTGATGTACGATTGAATGAATAATGTGTCAAAGACTGGTTGAACAAGTTCTTCGCCACCAGACGTGCACGTTGCTGGTGGGACAGAATGGTTGAGATACGAAGGATGGTCATAGAGAACGGCAAATATGTAATAAACTAATCTGTCATTATAATTATGGTAGAACGACTTGTTTTTATTAGTGACAGAACAAACTTTACAAATACACCAACCTAATGGCTTTCTTTGGATTACATACTAAATGTAGATACAACTCCACGCAACGTACGAAGATCAAGTTTTGTTCGTCACGGCGGTAATATCCAACCCTCTCTGATTGCGCCTCCGAGCCTGCTCCGTACTGTATTACTCGATTAGGAGACCTTTTCTCTCGCGGAGAGGTGAGAGCAAAGAAAACCGCTTCAAGGGCTAAATAGCGACCGATTCAATTCAAACCCAGCTTTTTGGTCAGATTCCGGGTTTCGATATTGCGTGTGCATAGACACCTCCGCAGAGGTATGACAAATGATAGTTATGAAAGGCTATTATATTGCTGAGTTTTCTATTGCTAACGCGTCGCATTGATTTGAGCGGGCAACATCAATGTCTTCCACGTGTTTGTGTTTAAAATTCATTTGTACTATGGAACAGCCGGACTGCAAGTACTTGTTAAACAAATTAGTGTTATCATTGTATGGAAGTTACCGTTCAATGTTTGATTTATTTCAAGTTTAAAAGGGTCTAACTGTAATATCCCTATAAACGCGCGACTATTTAATGTGTGTGTATCTGTATGTGTTTACCTATTTCTACTTATATGTTGAATCGAAATGCTTCAACATAAGGCCTATTCATCATCTCAATAATACAGTCTTAGTTTAACGTCAATAAAAGATTTGTGCAAGCAGCCCATCGAACGACTTGACAAATCAATTACCAACCTTTGCGCTTTTTCAGTCTTGTGTCCTTTAACGGGCACGCCCGTTGTACTTCGACCAGAATCATCGAGGATGGGTCGCCGCCGAAGTAGCCGCAAACCGCCCCCAAAACGAAAACAAATCGAGGCTCTCGCCACTCTATTCAACTGCCCTTTTTGTAATCACGAGAAGTCTTGTGAAGTAAAAATGGACCGAGTGCGGAACACAGGTCGAATTTCGTGCCGAGTTTGCCTTGAGGACTTCCAGACGCAAATTACATATTTATCGGAAGCGATCGATGTGTATGGTGACTGGATAGACGCGTGTGAAACGGCTAACAATTAGTTATCAAGTAAAAGGCAAAAGGGTCACGAAAGCTCCATTATTTACAGCTTATTGCCTTACACCTAAGGTGTCGGGCCAAATTTATGCTAGAGCCGATATGAAGACAAGAGTTGTAGGGTTACATCATCACTAAAAGCAGATAAGATCAATTGCAACTCTCTAATGTTTTGAATATATCGCAATAGTTAAACTGTTTAAGTTACATCATAAAGCATTAGAAGAAAAGGTTTTAGTGAGGTATGGATTTCGAAAATCTGGGAATACGCCACGAAGGGAGGTGTGATGTTCTTACATGGAAAATGTAAATCACATTTCATTGACAAATTTTCAGTGTACATTTTCATCCCATGATAATAAAGATAATAATATTGATAAGCTAGCTAGAATCCTTCTAGCATCCGAATGATATATAGTCGTTGTTCCTACGATTTTCGCATGCGCCTATAGATACACTAATTTTTGCAAATATATGTAATAATAACAATAAAATATTTAATAAACAAATTGACTTACATATGATATGAAAATACAACAATAATTTCGTAATAGTAATCGTATGACGTAAATAAGGTAACTTATAGGTTAAAAGTTACGGTGAACTGAGCACGATAAACTGAAAGATCTTAAATGTGTTTTAGTACTGAACAATTATTACACGTGAGCTGGTTTGCAGAACACCAATCTGTCGCACAATGGTAGTTTGCCTAACAATTGTTTACCAATCATGAGGCATTACAGACTACGAGAGACTTTACCGTAACCTGGGTTACTTCATTGTAACTGTAAATAGATGTATTCAGGATTTTACAGCCTTTTTACCTGTTATGGCAAATGATATCTAACGCAGCGCACTCTTCTATATTATATTGGTTACTCTCTATACAAATAAGGAAAGCATGCTTAAAATAGTGAAATATAAGGGTTTCATGATCATAATTTTTCGTATTCAACAAAAGGCACGACTTTTCTGATTGAAATAAGATAAAACCTAAAAGAAAATTTGATTATTTCAAAGGGGCTAAATTTTCTTCCACGCATTGCTCATAAAAGTTATGGCTTACACAAAAATTATCTTAAATAGGGAATTCTTCACTGGATATCAAGCACAAGGTGCCTTGTTCTTTAAATGGGTGAACCATCTTAATAATAAACGAAACGGATAGAAATCATCAATATGCAATAATATATTAGTCAATCAATAATATATATTATCCACTTAACGAGAGTTTTTACATAAATAGAATATGATAACAAAAAAATTGCCGAGATGTACAGAATGATCAGTCACTCGGTTTGTTCTATTCATCTCGAGAGCAGTGCAGTTTACGAAAGAAGTGTTACAACATAATTTCTCATCATGCTCACCTACCGCGTTTTTTTTTCAAGAAGTACTACCATTTCTGACATTCTTCTTTCCCGCTATTTGTCATAAACTTTTTAAATAAATCCTTTGAATTTGAAGAGAAATAATCGCACATTTTTTCTATAAGTGACATCGCATGAGTTCTATTAGCTTTTTTTTTTAGATATTTTGAGTATATATTAGTCATTTCAATCAGCCAAGCATGGCAATAAATTCCTAGATATTTATTAGCTTTCATTATTTCATAATTCTTTTCTATTATTGAAATTTTATTCGCGTCGATCATTATTTACGTCCCATAAAACCATGTTATAATGACTTCCACTAAATTCATAGAATATTCCTGAAAATTTTGGAAAAAGATTAAAAATTTACATATACATATATAAATCTTGAGAAAATCATAATACAATTATTAAAATTTAAATCCTTGAATCGACAGAGAAAACGTATGAGATTACTTTTTATTTATTTAAGAGATCTCTATGTATATATAAGAGAACATATATGAAGTTTCAGAGCCAATTACATTACTAACGGAGCTTACCGGGCAAATCATGTTTTTATACCTTTCCGTAACTTTTACAGTTATAGATATACCTGAGACCAACTTTTATAATCACCCCGTTAATACAAAATTTGAAATAGAATACATTTTTCAAATTTCGAAAAGTGTGGAACAGTAGACCCTAGCTGTAGAGGTTCCACTGAATACGGGCTCATTCATTAAGAGCGTATTTCATCTTACATGCAGCTGCAAATTATCGAAGCGAATTATATTTTCGTACCATGTATATGAGTACATCTGTCGCGAGCGGTTTTACTAACAGCTGTATAGCTCAATATTCATCACAAATGCTTGAGAATAAATAAAAGACTCAGAAAAGTTGAGTTCAAGTTCCACCAGCTACACAGACGTATGACCTTTATTGGCATATCCATCAGGGCTCTTTAGGCAACTCTTACGATGGCTAATTAGCAAAAGAAATAAACGTGCAAAAAAAGGAGCATACTATCTTTAATTTGAGCGTATTCATAGTTTCAACTTTTCTTTTTGTAAATTGTATCGACCTTTGAGACATCGTAATATAAACATTGTTACGTCGAGTGCAGGGCTAAAAATAAAAAAAACAGATTTGTATTCTTCCAAAAATTTTAATCATGCAGTAATAAGTACGAAGCTCAGACTGAACATATGGATAATTTCGAGCTACCTGCGTAAACTTAATCAAATGAACCGATAAATAGTTATAGATTCCTCTGATAGGTGGGTTCTTTTGTAGTCAACTAGCAACTACACTTCTAGATATAATTTTTGCGCATGTTCAATAACTATGCTATCATCAACTTACACTACTAATAGTATAATTGCAACTTCATGTTATGATTTCTTCCGTACCGATGAGTTCCATGTCACCACGTTTCCTAGTGTGTTTTTTTCTTAATTGTTTACAACTACGGTATCAACATACGATGTAGTTAAAATGTAATCCTCTTATGAGGCATTTCGCTTTTCTTTGTTTCCGCATATGGAAAACCGGATCATGCTTAAGGAATACCTCACAGGACTTTACATGCAAGTAATCTTGTCTTGTGTGGTCACAGATTGGTCCAACTGTTTGTACGGTTTGCTAACCTACGAATGCCTCAGTTAATCACTCTGAATACATCTTAGCCTTCTTGGCGAGCATGTCAATTCTACATTGATAAGGTATGTGTTTACTCGCATATTACAGATTCATATATTGCATAATTTATATACATAGTTTTCAACGAAGCCCCCACGGCCCGTTGTAGAAGAGCTAAAGGCTGCCACCTACAAAAGTGCTATGTGGCTCAATCGTATATGTTTCATTGTTATTGGTGGTCCTACTAAAGCAGCTTCTGGCAAAACAAATTGACCAAATCCACTTATTCTGCCCGATGCTACGTGGAGGATCTTGGTGCTACTAGTGTTGCTGGGTCTTTGTTGACCTTGTGTTTTACAGCTTCGGCGTATGTGTATTATCGATAAAAAAAGACCCAGAGCAAATTTTTCTCCACGGACATAGACGAACCGGTTGTGTTTGGTCAGGATCTAGGTGCTTGATGCAGTTGTTAATTAGACAAAGACTCGCATGATGTTTAGCAGTGGACGATCTGACGTCTTTTTTAAATTAATTTCTACCATGTTGAGTAGTCATTATCGCTGCTTCCAAATGAAATGAAGAAGCCGAAAATCGTTCCGTACACTATGACGTTAGCGAATAACGTCAAGCCACATGCTGGCCACTGTACCTGTTATCGAAAACAATAGAGAACGGAACCGCATAACCATATTAAAGGTGACTCACCTCTAATCCTGTATTCAAATTCACAGGAACTACATATTAAGCCAACATAATTAAGTGGCACTGGGTCAAAGCGCCGATTTATCGCTCCAGTCTATACATCTGCATAAAGGGTCAGTTAGTTGCTAATAAATTTTTCTAAAAACACTCAATCGTCACGTTGCCAGTCACTAAGATTCACTTTGTCATACATTAGATCCCAAAAAAGGACTGCTCAAGAGAATCCAAGGATGAAGCGATTTAAGTCGTAGGAACAACGTGGGACTTGAATCAGATGAAACGGGCTCCAAAGACTTTAACAAAATGCATTTGCACAAAATCTAGGGAAGATGAAAGCTACTGCAAACAGGTGGCCCCAGGAATAGGCTTGCGTGTCACTCAAAAAAAATTAAACGAGAAGAGGAGATCAGCTGATTTAAAGAAATATTCAGTGTCAATGTGCAAACAATAAGAATAGCATTATTAGTTTCAATTTAATACTTACGAGTACTGCGCCCTCTGCAGAACGTGACCTCGCAAGAGTTACAGGAAGGGCAAATGCAGAAATGACGACGAGGGCTGTGAGGAACAAAGCAACCTCTTCACGAGGATTTGATGAACTCATCAATTCCCGTCCGTTCCGAGCAATGAGTAACAATGGCACGGTTGCTAGATACCAGATGACGTTGATGAGAGGATACCACGTCCTTTATAAATTTTCATTTGCCAATAAGAAAAGATCGAGCCAAGTTAGAACATATATAGTACATATATGCATTGTACTGGATTTGCTCTAACTTGTGCTTGACGTATGTATGTATATATATACATATATACGTCAAGCTTTATATACGTACGTATATAACGATCGAAATATTGCTTTACATCTAAACGTACAGGAGTAAAATTTACAAGGCGAATATCATGTAAATAAATCATGGGAATGAGTTAAATGCACCCAGTAATTGAGCTATAACACACAAGATATCTTGGGCACGGTCGCCAGACAAAAGATTGTTTTTCTTCTTCGGTTGCTTCTCCCTTAATGATATGAATCAGTCAGAAGACGAATACACAATCGGACTCCTAATGGGGGTTGTATCTTGTACATTTGGGTTAGATCATTGTTTGTCTATTTTTCATTATCGAATTTATCTCATGAACCTTTCATTTACCCGAATTCAGGAAGGGCGCAGGCGAGGATGAGCATCGTCATGCCCACGGAGCCTGTGAAAGCCAATGCTACCAGTCTGAAATGATAAGAAGGTAAGGATGCGGAAAAATTAAGGAAATTGAACGCGTTTTTTCACTTATTACGTAAAAATAGAATATCAATAATAATAGAATCAAATATTACTACTAATATTGGAAGCACCGCTTTCTCTAAAATGGTAACGATGAAACATAGAGACACGCAAAAAGGTAATTTTTTATGCTGTACTTTTAGCTTTTTTCATATTGTCTTTTCCCACGGCTTTGTCTTGTTTATAAATAAAGTATCTGCATCAAAAGAAAAGATTCTAAGAATATCTTAGAAAAAGTCATCATGAATTATCATTATTTATTATTTTGTTGTTTACTTGTTATCGTTTAATTACCGAATTGATAAACTTCCTTTATTAAATATTTTGTTATATACATCATTTTTGCATGTCTACTTTATGATGAAATCAAAACAATGTTACCTAGAATGCGAATTTTACATTCTTACTTAAGGCACCCTACATATATGACGTGGTTCAAGCTAAATCTTATTTACTCTGGACAACATATGTCATGAATTTCGATATCCAGCAGGAAAACTTCAATGACGTAAACATTTTGAGTCTTTTAATTGACTTTACTACATCGGACCATATCAGTGTGTGATAAGAAAAACGAACGAATTTAAAAAGTTATAAGCAATAATGTGATAAGCAAATAATGATGCGGTCATGTTAGCACAGTAATATTGGAAAACATTTTTATAAATAGACCAATGTAAGAATCAACTAACATGTCCTTAAGCCCAACGTGCGTTAGTAATAAGTTCTACAGGGCAGTACCAGCTGGGAATTAATACAAGAGAGCCGCAACATAGGTTTGTGATCTTTGGCTGACCGCTAGTCTTGAACGTCTCAGAGCTTCCGGCTCTGGAGTTTAAAAAGTATTACGAAAGCCACAAAATGCGCCTAGAGATATAAATAATGATCTAAAAACGAAAGGTTATGTAGGTTTGGTAAAATGCCAATATCCGAACGAGGTCTAAAGACGCAAAGCATCTAATTTCTCTGCCAAATACTTGGAACTGCTTTATCATATTGACTGGCTAAACATAGTATATTTTGAACGGGAAACTTGCCAGGGTAATCGCTTAAGTTCATTATTATTATTATTGTGGACTGCAAATTGATAAAGACCATTCTTCAAAAAAAAACACCTGCGCGTTACTCTCGTTGTGCAGTAAAATATACTTCAGTAATTCACAAGTTTTTACGGGCATGAGAAATACTCCAGCACCATTTAAATGTGACCACACAGTGTCATATTACGGTAGTCTTTCCTGATATTACCCAGATATATGCTAAAATATCTCTACTGATAATGTCAAATCCGTAAAGCTATCTCGACTCATTGTCGGATTTAAAATCAGAAAAGCTTTAGTCAAAGAAAAGTCACTGCAGAGATAAGAAGCTGAGGTAAGTAAATTAGTCGGATAAAGCTGTCGCTCTTTGTTTCAGTTAATAGACCAAAGGTACTTAAATGTATAAAATATCTTTTTAACATTTCAGCAGATTAATAGCACGGTCGAATCGAATGACATAAATTAACACGCAAAACGAATACAGTAAAGGTACTGGAAATGAAAAACGCACAGCAAAAAAGATTGTTGATGTTAATTTCACATTTATTTTGGCTATAGCGACTATAGGAAGAGAATCGGAGATTGCAATTACATCAATAAAAAGACTGATCTAGCACTTTATTCACAGAAATATGTACGAAATTTAAACGAATTCTAAGTAAACTGGCTGCCGGTGAAGACAACCGAGTGTTGTTTAAGCAAACTAGGATCCAAAGTATACCCAAAATTCAAAGCTCTTGTTGTCAAGAGTAACAATAATTTGTGCTTAAAGAGGTTCTTATGTATTCATGCATTTAACAATAGTTTCCAATCAAATAATCTGTTACAAGGTCAAATAGAGTATTCTGAGCATTGTTTGATAGTTTAGAGAACTCTGTATATTGACAAACGTTCTTTTCAGTTATTAATTAAAATTAAAATAAATACAAGAAAGTCAATGCAAAAACAAAAGCAAGAAATAACTCGCGGTTGCTTCATCTTCAGTGGTTACTGTTAGATTTCAAAAGAAAGAAATCATTGAATAAATTCATGAACATTCCATCTACGATATGTTTATGAAATGTGCGTTAAAGGATTTACACATGTAAAATGATGGATACAAACCCCCCTACAACGCTGCAAACCTCTAAACGACTATGATTTATACGAAGTGTCAGCAAATTCTTCTCAACATACAATGCTCGCCTGCTTGACAAGAAATGTTCACGGCATTCACGTAGATAACGCCAATCAATATCACTCGCTTTTCTTATTGCCATTACAGTGAAGGACTTACGCTATATATTTGGGGTGGCCGATCATATCGGAGCGAATTGTTGCAGACGGTGTCCGTTGAGCATCAATCACATGATGTTAGGTGAGCGCCGATCATACCAAACCGCAAAAGACGTACAGCGCCCCAAAGATAAACAGATAGGCAAATAATATGTCACCAAAACAGAATCGTACAGTATTGGAACCACCTTAACGCAATCAGCGTCATTGATGATTTATCGTTATATTGTTCCACATTTATACACTGTCACTGAAGGAGGTTTCTACAAATAACAACACGAATACCCTCTGTGAGTTAAACAGTCAGCTCTGAGGACAATATAGTGGAGGTTTCATTAACACTTATTTTTACTATAATTTTTTTCTTTGTCTAACTCACAGATACTTTTGACTTGCTTCAAGGAATTAACCTTATGTTTTGTTTTTGCAGCCCAGTTATACCAACTATCTCCCAATCGATAGTGACAGTATCTACTAACTGGCTAGATGGTCTTGCTAATGCGGTCTTTAAGACACATAGTTTAGTTTTAGAAAGTACACGAAAGTAACCACTTACTACCATATTGTTACACATTTGTGTAAGACCGTAATGTTTTCTCCGGTGTAGAGTCTATGGCGGAAAAATTATCGCATCACGTATAAAAACGAAAACTATATCTCTATTGAGTCATTACGATTACCTTTTAATCCGGCCATCTTCGTTCGCGTCTGTGTGTTATTGTTTACACAGTAAACTGGATGACGGGTCGAACGGACCGCCAGAATGGTTCCGCAAGCAGACCGTATTACGATGCTTAACTTGAATCCAGTCCAGTCATTGTATCCTTCCCCATTAGGGAGAGAGTCGCTTACTGGTTTGGGTGACACCACCAGAAAGTACCACTACATTGATAAAAATGTTGACATAGCAACAATTACCGATGCGAAAATAACAGGACGCAAATGTCGCAAAATTGATCCTCAAGTTTGGGTTTAGGTTCAGTAAGTCGTTTCAGCTGTTTGAATAGTAGACAATCAAACACACCACTTAGGTTTATAATTACACTTAAACAACTTTTTTCGTCCAGAATTTTTATGTACTTTGAAAATTTCTTTGTGAAAAAATTATTACTCACATCAATCTGGCCGTACAGTTCAGTGTGGCAATAAACCGCTTTAATTATTTCCTTCTAGCCATTCCCCATTATATCCTGAATCATTCCAGTCGTCAATCGATAGCACTTTCAAATTTTGCGCTCAAAATTTTCTTAGACATTTCGTTCGCCCGCGAAAAGACCGACAAAGGCAGACGACGAGAGTTTTGGTAAAACAGGTCTTCTTGAGCTCCGTGTTCGCCATCTCGTGGTTCATACATTGTGTGTACGCGGGTGCCGTCTGGATTGAAATTACGCTTGTGGTGCCGCCTGGCAACCCTGTGGCCGCCAGTAGCTTGGTTACTATTTCGCGAATCCGCCGCTATTGTAGACGTCGTGGCAGCCGTCTCTGGTCAGCCGCTCGAGCACTCACGGATTCGAGCGTTTTTTTTTCAAATCGTCGTCTGAGTTCTCATCAGATTTTTTCTTGTCATCACACAAACCCGTCCCTCAATGGCGGACAAGAAGCCCAAGTAAGTGACCTTTAATACACAGTGAGTGCAGCATTTTTGTGATGGGAACAAATTTTCCGATTCGCTGTGTAGCTGTCGGATTTCGGCAGTTGCATCACGACAGGCTGGTAAGCCTATAGGAGAAACCGGCTGACTGCTCGAACGACCATGGTTCGCTATAGCGGTCTGCTGATTTCGGCAAGTCATCCTGCGTTATCGTTTCTATGACGCAATGGAAATGCGCCGACCAATTAGCCTTTTCCAAATTTCGATGGCTACGTATTCATGCCATTTTTCTAGTTGTCGAGCGCGATTGGTGTGTGGAAAAAATTTGTCATTCATTACTTAGCGATCTGTGTCCTCTAAACGAATTTATGTGATCTTTTATTTAGGGGAATCAAGGTATTGGCTAAAAAAAAAGAAAGCCATGTGAAAAGGACGTAAGTGTTTTACTTTTCTTTATATTTTACACATTACATACTAACCATGTAGGTGCAACAACAAGTAAAGCTTTCCCGGGAAGCCCAAGGGGCAAGATGATTATGTCAAGTGAATTTTGTGTATCTATCTGAATAATAAAGTTGCAAAGTCAGCGTTTATCTAAGCTTTTCCATAGCGCACGTATCGTTCAGTTTTTATTGTAAGATATACTTTCGCTTCCAACGTATATGAAAGGTCGTAACGTTCTGTGCACATTGACTTGTGCACGAATATAAATTATTTCCCTGGATTCCTGCTTTTTACTCTGGTTATGTAATATTTGTCCAAGATTAATCGACAGAAAAGTATTTAGGGTCGTTCCTTTGTTAGGACAGACCGAAGGCTCAACAACTTCACCTAGCGCCGTTACCTTCCTTATATTGTGTCAAAATAAACCTATTACGTTGGTTGACAGATTAGGGGCATCAGCTTTACGCAGCAGGCCTCGTCCAATAGGCCGAAACTAAGCCGAACTATACTTTTTTCTGTTGTTTACATGAAGCTAACTAATACTATAATTAACGTACGTAGCTATTCTATGAAATTATTATAATGATAGATCAGTGCTATCGTTGTTTCCGTCGCAATATTGAAATACAAATTAGAGTGTCAGTCATACTAAAAAAAAAACGATTAGGATTTTTAGGTTTTTTCGAAAATGCTTTGGAGAAAAAAAATGTAATTTAGTCCCAATTTTAAGTATTATAATGAGATTGTGTGCGGTTCAAGGACTTGCCAAGCTCGATGTGAACTACGGGCCAACTGCCCTGTGGACCATTTGAAGTGGCTTTACGTTAAAGAGGCTGTACTTTATGACGCAGAATTTTAGTAAAGCTCGATTGTCTTTCGTGATATACAGCGTGTGCAGCTGTGTGCAGACTGGATTAGATCAAACATTGTTTTTCTCAGTAATATGCAAAGGGTTGCAGGTAGTGGCTCGAGTCACCGAGGCGCGTGGTTTCAGTGTGAGTTTCTACAGTGTGAAGCAAACAATTTAAACGGGAGGCTTCATTGCAATCAAATCTTTAGCCCTGAGCCTTCTAAAAAAATTTGGAATTACTCATTAACTGAGCTACTTATGATTCTTCAAGAATCAATTTTGAGTAGCTATTAGAATCGAGATGTTTTCGTCTGCTAGGGCAGCCACGCTGGCGCAAGATAAATCATGGTAAACTTCCAACACAGCGGGAAAGGCGAGCATTTGAGAAGGATCACTGTAAAAAGAATGAACTTGCTGAAGTGCAAAAATACTCGGATGGTATTGAGGATGTATTGAGGATACAGTGACGTCGCTAATACACCTACAGGGGTTGGTTTTTTTATCCATAGGATTAATAGCACCATTACTCCGTAAAGCCCGGACCCTAATCCAATAGCGAACGGCGGAGATTTATGATTCTAGTGCACCAAACATGCCACACGCTTAGAAACGAACTGGCTAGAATGACCCTCACTGCAAAAATATGCACAATTTATTATTATTAAATATAGTTTATCATTGTCTATATTATCTTCATTTGTTATAACCATTTATTCATTCGCAATGATCTCGCTTTCCGTGGCAAATACAAATGCTGTATTTATGCCACATTACATTGGCTAAGGACATTTGCGTTGCCGTTTTAAACATTTCGTATTTTTATTGAGGTCTAGATTATTATGCTTTTGTAGTTACCGCTACTCTGTCGATCGTAGATTACTGCGATTCCAATAATATCGGCCCAAATTCTAGATCAGGTTACGCAAACGATATACGCGATGTTCATGGTCTGAATCACGGTTTAGCCCAAGGTACTGTTTGATTTTACATTTACACACAAAAATTACACATAAGTTTTTGTTTAAACAGGAGTTCAGCTATCGTATGTTTTAGTTTCTTGTTTTGTATGCATTGTCGTATTTTTCATATCTTAAATTGAATTTAATCAATATTATAAACGGCAGACAACGCACAGAAGTCAGTGTAATATGTCTACATCGTGTAAACAATCTACAGAGCACAGTTGCTTAACGTTGATACGTACGTCACTCTTTCGCATGAAACAGTTACATACGAAAGTGCTTTGATGCAGCTACCCTTTTTGAATTTTCTAACATGTTTGCTTGTGGTTCTCTGTTATAGTCCAGACGATCTGTCCACCGCTATTCTGAAGACCAAGGACAAGCCTAATCGTTTGCTTGTGGACGAAGGCGTCGGAGATGACAACTCCGTTGTGCATCTTTCGCAGTCCAAAATGGACGAACTCAACCTCTTCAGAGGTGACACTGTTCTCCTCAAGGTATGTATTCACTATGTCACACTAAATTTCACGATACTGTTCCTTCATCAAAGTGTTTAATTCGTATAATAGGTTGTTATAAGACGAACTTTCTTCGATAGTCATCATAGCGATATCAATTCGTATGAAATTGTATGGGCTAACTGTAGTAAAGTTTCTAGATAATCGTAAATATTTGTACGTCTCTTCCATGCCAGTGGACGTACGAGATACTAAGGCCCGGCACGATGTTATAGCTTTTGCCAAACGTGTTCGCTTCGCGTTTACATAACACGAGTCGAATCTTTAATTAACTAAAATCGAATTTGCTTATGTTGTTACTACAGGGACGGAAACGACGTGAAACAGTCGCAATTGTCATTTCGGATGATAGCTGCCCGAACGAAAAGATTCATATGAATCGATGTGTTCGCAATAATCTGCGCGTTCGTCTCGGCGACGTGATAACGGTTCACTCCTGTCCGGACATCAAGTATGGTAAACGTATACACGTACTGCCAATCGACGATACCGTGGAAGGTCTTACTGGCAGTCTATTCGATGTCTACCTTAAGCCCTATTTTCTCGAAGCGTATCGCCCTATCCACAAAGGAGACTTGTTTCTTGTCCGTGGCGGTATGCGTGCTGTCGAATTCAAAGTCGTTGAGACAGATCCAGCTGGCTATTGTATTGTCGCGCCGGATACAGTCATACATTGTGAAGGTGATCCGATCAAGCGTGAGGAAGAGGAGGAAAGTCTAAATGAAATCGGCTACGACGATATAGGTGGATGCCGCAAACAGCTTGCGTTAATTAAAGAAATGGTCGAACTGCCTCTGCGTCATCCTTCGCTGTTCAAGGCGATCGGTGTCAAACCTCCACGAGGCATCCTGTTGTACGGACCGCCAGGAACTGGTAAAACGCTGATTGCGCGTGCAGTAGCTAACGAAACTGGCGCGTTTTTCTTTTTGATTAATGGACCAGAGATTATGTCGAAATTGGCAGGGGAGTCTGAATCTAATCTCCGCAAGGCGTTTGAGGAAGCAGAAAAGAACGCTCCGGCTATCATTTTCATCGACGAAATTGACGCCATCGCTCCTAAACGAGAGAAGACGCACGGTGAGGTCGAGCGCCGAATCGTGTCGCAACTCCTCACGCTGATGGACGGCTTGAAACAACGAGCTCATGTGATCGTCATGGCGGCTACTAACAGACCAAACTCAATCGATCCGGCACTTCGTCGTTTTGGCCGTTTTGATCGAGAGGTCGATATTGGTATTCCGGATGCCACCGGACGTCTTGAAGTGCTTCGTATTCACACAAAGAACATGCGGCTGGCCGACGATGTCGACCTTGAGAAGATCGCGGCGGAGACGCATGGTTTTGTAGGCGCGGATTTGGCTGCGTTATGCTCTGAGGCGGCGTTGCAACAGATTCGGGAGAAGATGGATCTTATCGATCTCGAAGATGATCAAATTGATGCGGAGGTACTGAACTCCCTGGCCGTGTCCATGGACAACTTCCGCTGGGCCATGGGCAAATCGTCGCCATCGGCTCTACGCGAGACCGTTGTGGAGGTGCCGAACGTCACCTGGGCCGATATTGGTGGTCTGGAGGGTGTTAAACAAGAATTGCAAGAGATGATTCAGTACCCGGTAGAGCATCCCGACAAGTTTCTCAAGTTCGGTATGTCCCCATCAAAGGGTGTACTGTTTTATGGCCCGCCAGGTTGCGGTAAGACATTGCTGGCAAAGGCGATTGCCAACGAATGCCAAGCCAACTTCATATCGATCAAGGGACCCGAACTCCTGTCCATGTGGTTTGGTGAGTCAGAATCAAATGTTAGAGATATCTTCGACAAGGCTCGTGCAGCTGCTCCTTGTGTGTTATTCTTCGATGAATTGGATTCAATCGCAAAATCGCGTGGAGCTTCTGTAGGTGATGCCGGTGGTGCAGCCGACCGAGTCATTAACCAAATCCTTACAGAAATGGATGGTATGGGCACCAAAAAAAATGTGTTTATCATTGGCGCTACTAACCGGCCCGATATTATTGATCCCGCTATCCTCCGTCCGGGCCGTCTCGATCAGCTAATCTATATTCCGCTACCTGACGAGAAGTCCCGTATGCAAGTGTTCAAGGCGTCTTTGCGTAAGTCACCGGTCGCCAAAGACGTCGACCTCAACTTTTTGTCAAAAATCACAGCTGGTTTCTCTGGAGCCGACATTACCGAAATTTGCCAACGGGCAGCAAAGATGGCTATCCGCGAATGCATCGAAAAGGAAATCCGACGTGAAAAAGTACGTGATAATTGTTTCATTACGATATTTATAGCTTTACGATATTTATAGCTCACAGACATAAGGTTGCTGTGTGGGTGCGATTTTTAGTTGGTCGAACTAGACAAGCAAACTGAACGGTAACATTTCCCATAACAAAAATAAGGCGAAGTAGTAAAAGAGCACACGGCAACTGGAAAGGTGCTTCTTTTTAGTAGTATTGAATCCGTCTTTATACCATTCCTTTAGATATACGATTAAGCATGGCATAAGACGCTTTCTCAGGAGCAGCGCATGCTAGTTTGCTCCCTGACTATGTTAATTTTTCGTTTCCCGTTTTTTTGTATCGCCATTGCCCTGACGATAAAGGAGCGTGCAGCTGCTGGCAGTGCCAATGCCATGGAAATGGACGACGACCCTGTGCCGGAAATACGAAAAGACCACTTTGAGGAATCGATGAAGTTCGCCCGGAAGTCAGTCAATGAGAATGATGTGCGCAAATACGAGATGTTCGCGCAAACGCTCCAGCAATCGCGCGGTTTTGGAAACAACTTCCGTTTCCCTCCGAGCACCACGCCAGGAGCGGCAGCAGGCGGTGGTCAACCTAATCAGGAAGAAGACGATGACCTGTACAATTAAGAAAGCACAGTCCATGAAACATGGGAGTTTTTTGGGAGTTATAATATAAGGCGTAGAAGTATCGTACGGAAGGAAGTCGACGACGATGATGAAGTAGCACGATACAGCGAAAAGCAGACGATAAATATTATATAAAAAGCAAAGAAATGATAATAAAAATAAATGCGCTGACAGGTAACGCGCTCATGGCGTTCGGACAGCCACGGATAAGATAGGTAGAGAGAAATGTGTTTCGCTTCTACCATTTTACGAATGGTGTGTTGATGGTAGAGGATGACGAAGATACAAGTAACGTACTGATTAAATACGAAGAAACGTAATAATAATAAAAATAATAGTAATAAATTAATAAAATGAATAAACGATGAAAAGGTTACGAAAATTATGGAAACTCACAAATAGTAATATAGTGTGCGCTGTTATTTTCAGTAGTCATGTTCAAAAACGGCCCCGTGCAAGGGACAGATAATGACCTATAATAAATATGAAAAATCTCGCCAGGCACTAAAAATTAGCGTAACACTCAGAGAGCTATAAGGTACGACGAAAAATAAGCGTTCATTCGTTTGATTATACATCGGTATTGCTGAGGTTCCAAGGAGCAAACTAAAGTCTTTTAAAAAACTAAAATCTTTTATCCACACAAATTGTGAAGTTAGTTTTTTTTCAAGGTATTGGAAGATAAGAAATCATTGATAGTTAGATATATTCATATATCGACATGATATATATATGAAGATTATTGCGGTTCCGTTATGAGTTCTCCTTGTTTAAGACAAGAAGTAATGACAACGTGTCTCTATAGGGATTTTTTATATAACTATATCAAGAAGTTTAGTAAGTTACTCTAAAAAAGTAGATGTTTTATATAATCTATATCAGGAAATTTAGTATTATTTACCTTAAATTTTTATGATAAGAATCGAATGTTCTTAGAGGTTCTGTGAACGAAAGCTTGTGAGTGAAAAATGCATCTGAGGTGATTCAGTATTAGTGCGATTTTTCGAATGATTCTAGGAGAGATTTTATTGTAAGAAATAACAAAGTAATTTAAATGGTACAAGGCCGCTTCGCAACGGATAGAACTCCGACGTTGCATATTATTGAACGTTCGCGTTTAATGTTGCTTTTCGGTTAAATTCTTCGGATAAAAACACCTAAGGTGTTGAGTCGATCGCATAACGTCAATTTTGGTAACTTTAACTCTTCGAACGACTTGAGTTACTAGCAACTGAGTCATGGAAATTCTCTAGAAGACATGTGGTGCTGTTGTTCCTACTAATGGCGTATATAGTTAGTTAGAAAAATCAGTCGTTGAAAATAAGCGGAAGTCAATTAGCCTCATTTCTTTGATCTGCTGTGGTGAATTGCAGGGTTTCTTGCAACCGACACCATAAACCCAAAACCAAACGGGCTATTGGAAATATGTTGAAATGTCGGATAAATTTATCTCATGTCTGTTAGTAATCATTTGGGTAAATATGGTTACGTAAATACAATGGCATCCGCTGTTTGCATTGTGAAGTACCTAAAAGTGGAGTACCAGGACCACTTAAATTCTATGCTTGCGTTATTCTATCTACTACTCGGTCTGCTAGGGTTTGTTTTTGTGGACGGCCGAAAACTTATTCAGTAACTATCTGCCAGAAAATAGAGCCCCCTAAAGAGAGAAGTTTTCTTTTTTTCTATAGGCTGTAATATGTTAACTTGATTGTCCATTACTAAACGGTAGTAATTCAGTATTCCCATTACCCTTCTGTGAAAACAACGTCCATTCAGCGTTCACAAGCGCCGCTGTCGTTCGCACGGATTTATCATGAAATGTACAAATCTATATTTCTGTTGTATATAGCTTAGAAAGATGTGCTCAACGCGTGTTTTATAGCAAAGCCCGTGAATTGCTCTCTAGTAGCTATTAAAATCCTTCTAAAATTAGTGAAATCAACCTCCAAAAATAATAAGATGGACAGTTAGTAATAATAGTCTTAAATAACACATTTCGTTACTTTCAGCTCTACAATATAGAAACCCCTCAAATATACAACAAGTTATTTACATCCAGATTGCTGTTCAAAGGTATATCATACTTCCGGACACAAGTTCAGATGCAGAGGATCACATAAAACAATATTCGCCGCTGGCATTGCGGAAACTGCCAAAAGAAGCGATCTTCGTTTACGTTAATTGTTTCTAAGAATAGTGGTGACAACGATTTGCGAACCTAATCTAATGGAGGGTGTGCCAAAGTACCCTAACGTCACTCAGATATCCTTAATAATAGGTAAGTGCGTCCATTTGAAAAACAAACAAAGCGAACCGGAATTCTTCAAAGACGAGTAAATGAATAACAGCGTTATGCACGATATTAAAAGACGAAGGTGTAAAACTTTGGAACTGCTACGAAGCTTCAAATCTCTGGCTAACTCAGCTCTCCTCTAAAGCGAATTTCAGGGAAGGCTGGCTTTGGGGAGTTTATGCCAAAACAAAACTGATTTTTTACTTCTTCCTTTCTCAGATCATTTTATCCCGCAGTTTTCAATGGATTACTTAGCATGAAGGAATAATAGGCCGTAAGACCTGATCAAGTTTTCTATCTGGCATGTAGAAAAGCTTCCTTTGAACTTAATTTGAGATAAATACCTATAGAAATTTCAGGAAATACTTACCCTTACAAAAATTTTCAGTAATTTTTAACTTACTTAGAGCCTTTCGAAACCCCCAGAAATAAACATTTTTAAATATAAAACCAGTTATCGTTGATTCATTAAATGATCTTTAGTTTCCGATTTGCGAAAGCGAATCATTCACCGTAAACTAAGCAAGCTCCTCTGAAGTCATACTTAATCTCATTCTGTTTAGGTGAAATCCGCTCCTAACCTCTGCTCTTAGCCTGACCCTCAAGACCGCCTAGTAAAGCTCGTTATTAATAATGACGGGATTGTAAGTGCATATTCTATCGTTATGCATACAATAATTCACTGTCCTACAATATACGATAATGACCATGTTACGCGCTTGAATTTCAAGACGGATTCACACGCTTGTCGGCAAATAAATCAGGCACAAATTTCTTACCTCGGATTTTATATTAAACAGTGTTGATGTTGCGCCAGTAACCTTAACAAGCTTGTTAACGTTAAATATTAACAAACTTGATAATGTTATTGATTAGTTTACTAAAAACTGGTAGGTTGAGATCTTGACTTCCAATGTAAGCGGAGAAATTTATCGACATTGTATGTTTACAGCTTCTCAGTGCAGCGTATTCTGGGGGATTTTCGAGTGAACATCTTAACAATAACAGCGTGCAAAAAGTAACTGTTTTCGTCTAGGTGTATTGATTTTTTCGTAGTATCATCATACTTATTAACACATTGTTGGCTTATGAGAACAGAAAGGTTCTGGAAAATTAGTGGAAAATTAGAAAAATATGTGACGATAGGGTAAATCTAAACTGAAGGTAAATGATGAGTCGGTTCTTTAAGGCGGGCAAGCTCTGGAATAGGATAAGGCCATATACAAAATCGGGACGGGAATTGGGAAATAATTGTGCGGGAATGGTAAACACGAAATATGTGAAAGTCATTATAATAGTTTAGAGGTTGTAAAAATGTTGAATTCCAAGAAAACAGTAGCTGGCTTACAAGAAATAGCGCTAACAGCAAAAGGTGATGTAAGAAGTAGAAAGCCTTTCAGCTGACTTTTATGACCATTGATTTTACAGAACTTATAACAGAGCACAGAGTACGAAGGATTGATAACATTTTCACATGCATTTCGTTTGATATCTAATGCTTGGACTACTGAATGATACTCAATTTGATGTTTGAATTTTAGTACTACTTCTGGAAAGCTGATATCTAAGGTACACATTTGAACCTTGCAGGTGCTATTTTAATAACAACATCCACCACATGCACTATCGTGGCGTATACGTATACATACGTTATTGTTGAACCCAGAAGTAGCTACAACCAGATGTAACCGCCATATCTTGGGTGCAATTTTTTTCTAAACTACACACTAATCGTCTTTGTTATCCAAAAATAAAAATACATTTATTTGTACGACTGTCTATCTAGCATTTTTTCGTTCTTTTATTACAATGGCCCATTTTTTAATTCTCCCGCCAAACAGGCTCATCGTTTGATGCCCTCACCAATTCCCTTTCCTTCAGCACAGCTGTGCGCTAGTCAGCCGATCAGAATCAACTGAGCAGCCACCAACTAGTTAATCAAATCGACAGTGGGGAGCTCCTTGATCATCCCTTAAACTCGTTTTTGTTGAGTTATTCAACGACCTTCCTGCCCTTTACCCCACACATCCACCATTTGTGGAGACGGTAACCCGCTGCTGACTGTTGCCTGCTCAATCTGGTAACCTGCCACTTCTGTCGTGGGCAGTATAGCTGACAATAAGTTAATGCTGTTAGGGCTGATCAAGTTAACGTTGCTGTTGGTGATGACGATGTCAACGGAGCACTAGCGATAATCAACGAAGAACGCTCGAAAGAGATCGAGGGAGGCTAACAAGCGAAGGCTTAGCTTTTCTTCATAAGTTGTGCTGCCGTTTCGGTCGCTCCTCACCTTCTTTTGAATGCTGGATAGTATGTGTATAGGTGTGTTTAGTGAGCACCCCGCGCTGTGCGATAGCGAAACGATAACAGATCATAGTGCCTACGGTGGAGTGGAGAAGATCGCTGAAGCGGTCTGCTGCTTGTGCTGATTCGTTGTAATCGCGCCGCCGCTAGCTGCCATAGCAGTCGTCGTTGTCATCACCACCGTTGTTTTTGTTGCAAACACGGCCAGTTCAGTGAGCGATCAGCTTGCTAGCGACGGTACATAGGCACAGTCTGGACAGCGAATTGCTGCTGGGGTCGCAGCAAAGAACTAGCACATCAGAAGTACGAAGCTGTGGTAACACAAGTCAGGCAATCGTCAGCTAACGCCAACGGCGTCAAAACCAACAGCCGAAAAACCCTTTGTAACAACGTCAGGGTGAAGGGGAGAAGGGGCTGCACGAGCGATGCAGCCGCCAGCGGCAGCGGCAGTAACAATAACAAAAGCTTGAACAGGAGCAGTGCTGCTGTTAGCACAGGTACAACTACTGTTATTGCTGCTATTAGAAGGCGACAAAAGCCAGTCGGGGTAGCAGGACATGGCGCAGATGTTGGCCAGCAGCGCTTATTGACGAATCCGGCTGAGCTAGACAGGCCAGATGAAAGAACGGCTACGACAGCTGAGCCGAGGCAGCAGCAACAAAAAAGCCAGCTGTAGCAATCCCAATACACATTTCGCTCTGTTTCGTCTTTGTCGACGCGGGTGTCATGTTGCTCTGCGTTACGGTACCAGTAATAGTCATAGCAGGAATATTCGCAGCAGTTTTATGTGCAGGTGGCGAGTGAATCTCGAGTGGACGGGCTACGTTCATCTACCGGGTGTCCGTTACAACAATCATTGCAATGAATAGCCTGACAACAGGCTGTGCATCTATCAATTAGTATAAGGAAAGCAGCAAATTGGGTAGTGTAAACGACAGCGTGTGTTTGCGTCGTTGTATTATGATTTGTGAGTGCGTCACGAGTTATTATTATTATTATTATAACGATTGTTTTTCCTCTCTGAGAAGACTGAGCCAGGTCTGATGAGATTCTATCCCCCGGAATTATCGTTGTATATACACCATCAGTTACCAAAGAAAAAAAGCTAGTAAGCGATGACGAGGTGGAGGAGTGCCCGAGGTAAACGAGCTGAAAACTTAACAATCTCAACGATCAACAACAGCATAATATCGTCGTTTCCCAAGTGACGTGCGGAGATTAGCTTGGTTTTTGTGATTGTCCCCGTTCTTGGTGTCTTTTTCATGTTGTCTTTTTGACACCTGAGCCTGCGTGCTTTATTGGTGATTTCGACGAGACGGCCGGCGTATTAGCAAGCGATTGTCCATTCATCTCATTGTGGTCAAGCCAGCTACAGTATCGAACCCGTCTCCGTTAGCCACACCTCCAAGTGTATTATTGGTTGTTCAGGTGACAGGTAAACACACGGTGTTGCGCCCATTTCATACTCGTGCAGCGTACCTAGCACCTGAAGGGATAGTGGCGGAAAGGAACCGATTCAACCCAGCGGGATGAACGCGCGTCACAACAAATTTGAGCTGGTAAGTAAAATTACACTCAATTTGTAAAGCTTCTTCCTTTTTGTGTATGTGGATGTGAGTGCGAGCTGAGTCCAGCCTGTATCGTCGGTGCATGTCTCTTTCTATTAGTGATTGTAAAATAAATGAACGAGATGGCAAATATTAGTTGCTCTCGAATTGGGCTGGTGGTAGACCAACTTTTTAAGGAAGTACACACAATAATATTCTATCCAGTAATATTGAAAAAAATATGGTGCCCAAATCAGAAGCATTCAACTGAGAACGCACGCAGTCTATAACAGATTGCATCTTCCTATGTTCTTACGTTGATCAACTCACTCAGGTATGGATAAACATGTGTTTCAATCGACCCATGTAAGGAGATAAGTGACGAGTAGATTCACTGCATAGATGTAGTAATGTCGTCCGGAGTTTTGTCTAGGCCTGTTTTTTTTTCTGGTGGTCATCGCAGCTGCCAGCTGGAACAATTCTCCATTCCAACAAATTCTGGTATGATGCTAAGGTGCACTCTGTTGACAGAGAAGCACAGTGGTTATAATTGTGGTTACAGTAGCAGTTGTGATAATAATTGAATTAGGATTCGTTGTAATGAAGGCGCAATGAACGTTGATCAACGCAGCAAACTGTCCTTCGTATTAGTCACTCACTAAATAAATGTGTTCTGCGCGGAAACATGTGCTGACGCGCTGCTTGTATAGAAGAAATCAGCGTCAATGTTTTAGTGAAAATGTGTGCATAAAATAGTCAAAGTAGCATTTCATGGTTTTCTCCAGCACAGCAGCTCTTTCCAAGTAAAATTTTGGTAAGCAAATCTTTAAATACATCCTTGCTCTCTGTCATTGACTATCGGGTCTGGATCGTTACTGATGCTGTGGTCATAAAATGGTGCTACCAGTTATCAGCAAAAACCGACGAGCAGCGGTGGACCGAATTTGAAGGAGAAAAGTAATCGCGTTGTATCCACATACATATCGTTCAACGAAGACAGACGAATTAACAGAGCATGTACAACTATCCTAAATATGGGAAAAGAATATAGCAATGGCCAGCGTAAGTGGTATAGCTGTTGTGATCAGATGCAAAGTAACTACCGGCCTAAGAAGCTTACGTTGTTTGCTGCTTTTAAGCGGATGCTCATCTTTTATTTAATGATTCGGTACGCTTCCGAGTTCCTAAGTGAATTACAACTTTGCGAACTTACGCGTATTATGCCGTTCTTTATCATGAGAGCTTGAAAGAGAGGGTCAATTAGGGTGTAAGACTTGCTTCCACTGGTTGACTACTGTGCTATTATTTATATCAATTTGCATCAAATGCGCTGTAGAAGAGTGTCAATAAAGCACTTAATTTCGAGTTAATTCCGGCTGCCAGACAAGCAAGCAAATAGTTCCTTGCAGGATTACAGAGCTCGGTAGCGGTTGGGGTTTTGTCTTGCATTCAGTCCTAGTATATTGTGTTCGTGTAGTCATAAATATTGCGTGTGTCTGTACGCTCGAGCTGTTTTAGCGAAGATTACGTGTACTATATGCTGCGGCTGAAGACGTTGTTATCAGTTAAAGTGCCACTTATGTCTGGTCTTGTCTTTGGCTGTATAAAACGCTCATATTGTCAAACGAGGGAGACGCAGTTTGCTTTACAACATTTAAGCCCGTCTTGTTCTAATGGTACTCGTCGAGTAGTGCTATAATAGCTGTAGTAATGAGTTTTGGGTTGTAATCGCGCCTCTGTCTGCTCACGTAGCGTATCGTCGTACTCGACAGATCAGACCGAATAAGCAATAACATGGCGACAAGCTCACACAAGCTTCCTCTGTTGCAGTTTTGTTGTGTACGCCGATGTATTCATCGGCGTTGCTGTTGTTCGCTTTTGCTTCATGTTATCCTTATTGTTGAGCCCGTTAATATGATTTACTGTAGTATATATATACTACTAAGTCCAGGGCCAAGGGTTTGTTCGACCCAAAACAACCCCTTGGAGACCACAGATAGGCTTATTTCTGTGTAAATGAAATGAGTTCTTCAAGGAAAGCTTGTCTGGAGAGTAGAGCCAATTAAGCGAGCACTTTTCCATGGAGGAGCTTAACTTTTACTTTACGACTTGCTCGACAATCGTTGAGAATTCCTTAGCATAAATAATTTACGAAATATTTATACTGGTATATCACTCGGTATAATAAATTCTAAATCACGGATGCAAAAATTGGATCCTGGCGTGGAATTTGATTTTTGCAATTTAATTATAAATCTATCATTTTTGTCCATGTTGTTTTTAATTTATGAAATATAGATCATTTTGATTCGTTTTGTTATGTGAATAAACACTTTTTTCTTTTACCAGATGGACGCAAAACGCCAGTTTAGCTAATTTGCGAAACAGTTGATAAAATCTAAAACACATCAGCATGTGTGGTTCCTGTCCTCCAACTCTGTGAATACTTTTTTTTGAGAAGATAGAGCTAATTGAAATGAAAAGTGAAATAATTGTAAAAAGCGACGGGTATAATTAGGTAAAATCTCCGACTTGTTCACGCGCACAATCAAAGGTCGATTATACGTGTAAAAGTGGAGCGAAACTAGTTTGGGTTCATATTGGTAATCGGTCTCAGTTGTTTCTTCAAGGAGTAGGATATATGCAGCACGGTAAGAACAAGTTGCAACAAAGTAATAAGGGCATTCATTCCAGCAAGGTAACCGTTTACTGGAACGAAATAATAGAGCGTTAAAGAAACGGACTCACGGATGCAAAATAAATTGACCAAATAGAGAAAATATAGTAGTTGGATGCTTGCAACGGGACAATCGAATCAATACAACTACAAGCGAATGTTCGTAAAAAGGTGCTGGTTTATAAGTTGAATACAACGTATATCGAATAGCATATAATAATAGTAGGATAGCTGATAGAATGACAGCAGGGCGCCAGTAGAACTGTTGGACGATTCCAATGGGTCAATGGAGCAGAAAAACTGCAACTAAATAAATAATTAATTAAACCATCCTAGAATAATTGAAAGTGCATATAATAGTGTTAGGTTCAGTTGAACGTCTATGAAAAGATAATAATTTGTATTAGAATAGCTTGGTAAAAGAACTGCAGGATGATACAGGGCTACATAAGGCAAAAAGTCATTGCTACAACGTAATTGTTGATGTATATTATAGTTTACGTCAGGTTTGGTATAACATTAGTAATAGCACAACAGACTGGATAAAACCCGTGTATTCGTATATTACGTATATATAATGTGGCTTTTGATAGAGAAACGTTGACACTACTACACCACGATAAATACCAACGTCTCCATCAGCGTCAATAATTAGGCGCGTTCCTGTGCTGTATCTATTGGTACTTATCAAATTGGACATGAACAGGAAAAACAGTAACAATAATAGGAAGATCAGTGAGTTCATTGCGTGGGTCATATGTATGCTCTGCGGGATAGTTGCAAAAGATTGTATCGAAGGCGGCGACGCCAGCAGCTGGTGACGAATACAACGCCGTCGACTAACTGACGATAGCTACAGCATCGCTGCATTCGACGGTCTCATACATCTATTTAATTAGTCGTTTCTCTGCATATAGTACTCGGTGTTGTTACACTAGATGGCGCTCTGTGGACAGGCGAACCTGCAGTCGATTAAGGCCTGAGATTACAACGAACGAAAACCTTGCCTCATTTTATCATCCCTCCGGCCGATGGCAGCAGAATATTCTCTCGGAGACACTGGACTGGCCAAACGAACGGTGGTGATGTTGATTGGGGAGAAACTGTGGCGTATGCGACGCTGTCACGATGCTTTTGCATCTAAGATTACATTGAGTATAGATTTTCTCAAAAAAAAAAGTGTTTGCTACTCCTAATGGACATGCATGTGAGCATATATGAATTCGTATGTTAGTAATCTACGAAACAGGCTTTAGCTAAGCTCAATGTTATCTTTTTCGTTTTGCAACAATATAATTTGCCTCACTTTTACAGAATTGATACTTATCGAAGTTGTTGTGACTTTTTCTAGAATAAGAAATTTGGAGACTAATGTAATGACTATAACTTATTTGGCTGATTTATTCATTATGTCAGAGCCAATGTCGCTAATTTATTAATAATAACTAAACTGTAAATATTTTTTTCCATATTTGCATGATTTGTTACAAATGACACTTCACAAGCTAAGCAATATGACATAATAGGTAAATTACAAAGCTCTTATGCACCTTATAGAAGATTATTTAAAATTTAAAACATACCTCTTCGTTTAATCTATCTTCGTTTTTCTAGTAATTCGTATATACATTTGTATTATTATATATATATACATAAAAAAATAAGGAAAATTCAGAAAAGTTTATCTCAGAGGGCAATAAATTTATTTTAAAATGGTCTCGACCATTCAGTTCAACGTCTTCTGAAATAATACATTTTTATCATTTTATCTAGTCTTTTTTGTTGCACAATAAACATAACTATTTGAATACCAATCTACAGAACAAAAAGTGGAAATAAATTCACTGAAGTGTAGCCTTTGATACCGTTTCGTTTTAGTTAATTTCGAGTTGGGTTTCGTAAATTTATAAACACCTTAAAACTGATATTCACTGTTGACTTTAGCGCAATAGTAGTGCTTTTGAAACTACGACAATAGAACAATAACAATGAATCAGATGATTATTTTTATACTAGGAGAGCACTTCATGTTGTCATTCTCTGAAAGGTTAGAATTGTGCTGTTCTAGACTAGAGTATCATTATGAGCCATTGTGCGTTTAGCTAGCCAATTAAGTGATGCGTTTCTTCATATCAAACATCATGACCATTATCGAATGAAAAAACATCTCATAACTATGTACCGCAGAATTGTATTTCAGTGATAGCATTAGTCCATTTTTGTTACCATGTTATTAATGTCACGCTAAATAATAATATATATTTTGAAAATACTATCATGTACTTTTTCATCGATCTATATCCGCTGGAGTTGTTGGAGCTCTACATGTTACTCT